CAAGGGGTAAGGTTGGGAAAAAATACCCCCCTAGGGATATTAAAAAAGGCCCACAGCCCAATTTCAGGAACCAAAAGGGCCAAATTTGAACTGGAGGTAGGTCTTGCATAGGGCTACCACCATATCACTTCAAACATCTCTAAAAAGGATGCACAATCGTGAAGATGGCAGTATGTTTTATCAAGGGGTAAGGTTGGAAAAAAATACCCCCCTAGGGATATTAGAAAAGGCCCACAGCCCAATTTCGTGAACCAAAAGAGCCCAAATTTGAAATGGAGGTAGGTCTTGCATAGGGCTACCTCCAGGTTACTTTAAACATTGCTAAAAAGGATGCACAATCGTGAAAATGGCAGTATGTTTAATCAAGGGGTAAGGTTGGAAAAAAATACCCTATTTAGGATATTAAAAAAGGCCCAAAGCCCAATTTCGTGAACAAAAAGGGCCCAAATTTGAAATGGAGGTAGGTCTTGCATAGGGCTACCTCCAGGTTACTTCAAACATTGCTAAAAAAGATGCACAATCGTGAAAATGGCAGTATGTTTTATCAAGGGGTAAGGTTGGAAAAAAATTCCCCCCTTGGGATATTAAAAAAAGCCCACAGCCCAATTTCGTGAACCAAAAAGGCCCAAATTTGAACTGGAGGTAGGTCTTGCATAGGGCTACCTCCAGGTCACTTCAAAACTCGCTAGAGATGACGCAAAATTGTGAAAATGCCAGTATGTTTTATCAAGAGGTTGGGCTCCCCAAAGTTCCATCTTGTTGCAATGAAATAGACAGTTTTCTAAACCTGAAAAACAAATTGCACACTGCTGGAAGCCTTGCAATTGTGTGAACAACCAAATTCCATCAAAAACTATGGCTTGTTCTAGTGACCCTGCACTCCAGGACATGAAATGAAAGTGTTGGGCATGTGTTGTCTTTTTAGTGCCACCTCAACTTCGACATGTTGAATTTCACAAAGTTTGGAAACACCTTCTACACATTGCAAATGTACTGGGAGGAACTCCTGTGAGGTGATTTTGGTATAAAAAGACGCACAAATGTAAATGCAAAACGTGGTGCAATTCTACTCTCCATTTTAATAAATGGATGTAGAACCAAAGCATACAACTACTATGCTTCTAGTACAACTCCCCCGAACTGTAAAGGCTTGAACTCGGCAACAGAGCCTCAATGCGAAAACATACCCTCCCACACGACGCTTGCGAGGGGAACCGCGGCGTGCTGCGACGTCGTTACCGTCGTTCGACGAGGTTGGCGAAAGCACCACCGACCGATAGAGGTTGAGAGTGTTTAAAGGTTAGTGCGGTCATATATCTAGAGATATATCACTCGCGCACTGAGCCAGGTCCGTTCAGGTCCGGTTTGTGTTCTATGGTGTTACTGCCCAGGTCTGCCAGGTCCGGGAGGGGGTTTGTCCGCTGGAACAGAACGCGCGTTATATATTCCTGGAAAGCGCAAGCGAAAGGAGAGAGGAGAGATTTTCAAAATTGCGCAACAAAAAACTGCTGCCCCAGGGCAGCAGAGATATATTACGGGGCAAAATGACGAAAAAATAGCGTTGTGTTTGGTGAGATGCCCTCACAACCCCACTGCCTCCCAACAGAACACCTTAGTCCATTGATCCCTCAGAGCGCAATAGACGGAGAGTTGTTCGACCCATTAGAAATACACCGAAGGGACAGTACGCGCAGCAGTTACAGGACGCTAGGCACTGGGAGACTAATTAGGAACGCGTTAGAGAAAATACTTGTGAACGCATGGGGAGTAACTATGCTGTTTTTTTGCAGGGCAGGCCTAGGTACGCGAGGTGGGCTAAAGTGGTGGCGGTTGTATTTTTGGGGTGTGGAGGCCTAGTACACCCTTGCGCCTGATGTAACGCCGGACGCAAGGTGAACTCCGCGATTGAGCGAACGTCAGAGTTGCGTCACGTTTGCGTCAGATTTGCCAGGGAGGGAACTGAGGGGGGTGTTTGCCTGACGTAGATGTAATCTGTAGATGGAGCTGTTCTGCAGACATGTCGATGTAACCAGGTTCGGGTACGTTGTGCCAAGTTTGGGTGAAAAATTGCGGGCTGACCCTCGATCCGAAGCAAAATCTCTCGCTTTCGGAAGGTGCTCTAATGTAAACTGCACTTTCCTTTTTTGCGTGCAACACTCAGCCTCAGAATTCCGACATCTGGCAGGCAACTTCTTGGCCTGCAAAAAACCCCTTCACGTTGCATGCAAGCTTTTTGCATGCACTCATACAAATCCAACAGCTACCACACAATTTTCACGACGCGCGGAAATCAGCAGCTACGAAGCACGCAAACTACCAAAGGAAACAGTTAACACTGAACTCATAAAACACTATGAAATCCAGCTAGCACACATTGTCCACAATAATCTTCCCCCATTGCTCGCTCACAAGAGCCACGCATGTCCACTTTGCTGGCAGCTTGTGCTGGCACAACCACCTAGTGTCAGATTTGGGTGTGGTGCTGTGGCCCTAGCTAAGCAAATTCATAGGGTCCTCATCGGTTTGGCGGCTTCTTCATATCCGTCCATGGCGCGGTCCACACCCTCGCGCATCAGTTGCATCTGTTATTGCAACCCTATGGCTTGCACTCGGCTTATCGTCCTTGTTCGTGTGTGTGCATGCATGGCATAGAATGACTTGTGAGTCTATGTCATTGCTATGTAGTGCTCGTGTGTGTGCTTGAATGGTGTATCACAATGAGGTTTGTGTCGGTCAAGTCGTTGTTTGCGCGTCGCATGTGTTTTTTTCTATTTTGTCGATTGTGAAGTGTCCATTGCGCCGCAGGTGAGTGCAGCAAGCCCTCATCAACTCAAAAAGAATTTATCTTGCAGAACCAAAACCAAGAGCTCAAGATTTCAAGCCCAATGGACACAAATAAATATTAAAATAATGAAAATAGTAATGCTACTTCGTATAGTTTTGTATTTCACTTGGTGTAGCCCCTTGTTGGGTTTGTTTCGAGATTGTTCATAGTTGGGGACTCAGTGGTGGTTTACCACCAACCTGGACCTCGGCTCTTGGGGTTTGTAGAGGCTGGGAACCATCTCAATCTCGATTCTTCTTGCTAAGTTTGTACTTCTAAGACTATAGTGGCTGCTCTACCTCCTGCCAGCCCAAGCACAAGTTCAACACCAAGATCCACCCGTTGCTCCCTTGCAACCTAGCCTTGGCCCCTCTAGGGATGAGCCTAGAGTGTTTGGCCTTGACAAGTTCAACGGTGACAACTTTGCTGAGTGGTCCTTTAAGATGGAGAACATCTTTGACGAATATGATCTGCTGGAGGTGATGGAAGGAACGGAGAAGCGCTCCGAGAACGACCCGGAGAAGATCCTGTGGGTGCGGAAGAGGGCAGAAGGCTATCTTCTACTTGGGCAAGTGTTGGGGAGCAGTCAAATCCTTCACATCAAGCCTTTTCAGCATGAACCAGCAAAGGGACCAAAGGCATGGGCTGCTCTGAAGGGTGTACACTCTCCTGCAACAGCGGTGGTGGCTGTGGTTTTGGAGCGGCAAATGGCGGCACTTCGAATTGAGGGCTGGCAGAGGGCGAGCGAGCAAGCAGCGGGTGACGAGTGAGTAGGCAGGGGATGGCGAGCTGTGGGCGGCGAGCGGTCCTACGACGTTTGAGCCGGCCGGCGACGAGCGGGCGCGGCGAGTTGGTGGGCGATGGGCGAGCGGGCAGGCGGCAGGGCTGCGAGCAGTGGGCGTCGAGCCAGCTGGCGGCATGCGAGCGGGCATGCGGTGGGCTGTAAGCAGCTGACGGCAGTGGGCGACACGCAGGTGGCGACGAGCAGTGGGCGGCGCAGAGCTGGCGGCGAGCAGCAGGCGGCGCGGAGCTGGGGCATGGGGTAGCGCGATCAGCGGGCAGTGCGGGTAGTGGGCTAGGACTAGGGCGCAGGCCAGGGCGCATGCTAGGGTGGCAGATTAGGGCCTAAATTAGGCTAGGAGCGTAGGCTAGGGCAGGAGAGGAGTGGGGAGCACCTAGTGCGGAAGCGTGGGGGCTAGGAATTAACCTAGCGATGATACCATGTGAAAGTGAGAGAATGAGCTGATTTGACACATGCAGAATAGGGTACCTGTATTGGGGCTATCCCTACTATAGTCTGCACATAGCTAGTTTACAGTATGCAAGCAGTGTGGTCTTAACTGAATTCAAAAGAAGGCGACACATGTTATTGGCGCATTCATGACGCCCCCCATGCTAGTCTGCTTTGATATTTCGTCCCTGACACAACTAATTTTGACAGTCAATGCTTATATTCAGTGACCCAACCAGCACCCGTACCTACCGTGAGCTACACAAGATCTTGGCCCATCGAGTTCGACGCGGCTGATGTCAGTGCTGCATGGATTTCCTGGTTCGATGGGTTGATCAGACCAGCAAAGACCATTTGTGGGTACTCACTCGGTACTCACGCATAGTGCTGTCCTATTTATGCCAACGACATGCCCGATGTGGGTAGTCTTTTCTAGTAGGGGGAAGGTGTAAGGAAAATCTACTTCCTGTGTAGGACTATGCTACACATAGCCTAGCAAATTATTTGTATCTTCATTCATCATAGGCTCCCTTTAGTGCATTCTTCTACACTTCTCAGAATGATATCATAACATCTGAAGTTACTGAAGAGTTCATGGCGGCCGTGGGATCCACATCCTGCGGCACAGTGATGTGTGAGCCTAATCGAGTGGTACGGTTTTGCTCCGGCTGCGCGTGCCTCTCCAAATGGTCAGCAATGCTGGTCTGGAAGGCGGCGCCGAACTGAACCAGCTCGTACGTACCAGCTAAACACACCAGCCACGCTCGGGCTTATCAAGAAAACCCTGGTTCACCCATGTCGACCCAAGGCTAGGGGCAGGCTCGGTGCAACCGTTCTACCTCCCCAATCACTCTTGGATCCATGGCTGCCGTCCTTCCACCCATTTTAGTGTTGCGAGGGGTGCTTGACTCCTGACCTGATCACCCACCCAAAGTTGTAGTGATCGCCTTTGCCACAGCCAGAGCCGCGCCACTCCCCTCCCGTGTGAGCTTGGTGTGACAACTGATACACCCTCAACTTCACGCCTTCATCATTTCGCATGCAACGGTTGTCAGAAAATAACTCGGGTCGATGTGAGCAAGCTCGGGTAGTGTCCTTTCTCGCGTTCCCCTTTGAGAATTCTTGAAAACTAACTTCTACGCACGCCGCGTGAATGGATCACCCGAAGCTTGCGCCCGTGAAGGTGAAACCGCAATGTGCGGAAGGCGACGCAGCAGACGCGGCGTCAACGCAGCTGAACGAGCAAAGCGACTCTGCTCAGCCGCTGTCGCCAACGGCTCGGTTCTTCTTGTCGGACGTGTTCTACACCACCGTGCTGTGCGCGCTGGAGTTTAAAGACCGCCTGGCGATCGACGAGCTCCGGACGATCCTCTCGGATACCCTTTTGAAGCATCCTCGGTTTCACAGTCGCATGGTAAAGCCATTTCACCTAGGCCGACTCTCATCGCAACGAGACGCGGAATTCAATTCCTGGTAGACGAAAGACGCGAGCTTCAATTCCTGGTAGGCTAAAGTCGCGGGCTTTAATTCCTGGCAGACGAAAGTCGCAGGCTTTAATTCCTGGTAGTGGAGGACTGAGCAGGTAGTAAGGGCCTCAGTAACGCCATTCATTTTACTGCGCCAATTCGGTCGTCCGATTGCAATCCGCTCGTTACCAATCCGACTGTCTCGATAGAATTCGCTCGTTTGATAGCATCGTCCCCGTTTTGATCCGCTCGTCCCAACCAAATTGGACGACGCGCGTCGCCTTATACGAGGCCGTTTTCCCGCCGTCTTCTGATTCCTGTCTGTTAAAGGCAATGTTGTGCGTCCGCGCTGTTAGTTATTCTGAGCGCTCCCACCAATGGTGCGTCCCTCTAATTCTGAGGCGCCTCAAAACCAAACGCAATGTTGTGCGTCCACGCTGCTCCCAAGGTCTAATTCTGAGCGCCTCCCACGCTGTTGGCGTCCACGCTCCCAAGGTCTAATTCTGAGGCGCCTCAAAACCAAACGCAATGTTGTGCGTCCACGCTGCTCCAGTCTAATCTGACGCCTCAAACCAAACGCAATGTTGTGCTCCACGCTGCTCCCAAGGTCTAATTCTGAGCGCCTCCCAACGCAATGTGTGCGTCCAGGTAATTATAATGCTAGTAATGCAGAAAATTCGTGGATGTTAGTCATCGTTTTCAGGCGCGTAGAAGCATCATTCTCTGCCTGCGATGTGCGCATCACGTGCGTCACGCATGACAATGGTGAGCTGGTTATGAGATTTCTCACCAACTCATCTTATGTGCTTCGTTCATGAAAACGAAATGATGTGGCAGGAGAAACGTGGCTGCAACGGCGGCGAGCAGGTGTGGGTGCGCACGCAAGTCGACTTGGCCTACCACGTCGTGGAAGGCACAGAATCCGACCAATGTGACAGTAACGAGGGAGCAGGGGGCGCGGAGGAAGCTGCAAGACCGGCAGAATCAAGAAGCGCGGAGTCGGAATCGCCGTGCTGCGAGGAGGGGAGTGTGGAGTGGCACATGCGGCGCCTGCAGCATATGCCACCCTTCGACCCCTCCCACCCTCTCTGGCGCGTGCACCTGGTGTCTCTGCCCCACGGCCGATCTGCTGCTCTCTTCCGGTAATGATTCACTCTGCTCTTGAGGCGCCTCAGTAACAGACTGCAGCAAATGGCACCATTCAGCCAATCTTGCCCTCTCTGGCCAGTCAATTTGCATACCTCCCCTCCCCCATTTTCGCTTGCTGCTCTCTTTTGGCAAGGTCGCGCACTGCTCTTCTGATCTGATACGGCACAGACGTCTGTTTTCCACCATCTCAAGGCGCCTACTGGCCTTTCACTTACACAATACTGCCGTCTCCCCCCCTTCCCCCCTTTCCCCCCATTTCCCCCCCAGCATCCACCACTCCCTGGGCAGCGGTTTGTCGCTCATGCCTTTGACGCCTTACCTCCCATTCCTTGCCTCTACCCCTTCCCCTCACCCCTCCCCGTCTGCCCATTCGCAGCACCCACCACTCCCTGGGCGACGGCTTGCCGCTCATGTCTCTCCTTCTGGCCTGCAAGCGCCGCACCAACAACCCCGCCCTCCTAACAGAACATCTCCTTCGCTCTCCTCTCTTTGCCCCCTCCCTCCCCACCAGATGTGCCGCTCACGTCACTCCTGCTGGCCTGCATGTGCCCCGCACCGCCCCGCCCTCCTCCATGCTTATGTCGCATGCTGTGTCTTTCTTTCTCTCTCTCAATTTCCCTCCCCCGCCCCTCCCCGCCTGCCCATTTCCAGCATCCACCACTCCCTGGGCGACGGCGTGTCGCTCATGTCCCTCCTGCTGGCCTGCACGCGCCGCACCGACGACCCCGCCCTCCTACCCACCATCCCCGGCGCCAAGCGCCAGAGCCCCTCCCAGCCGCCCGTTCAAGTCCCCGCGGGAACGGCAGCAAGCGGGGTTGATGACGAGAAGCAAAGGAGCAAGCAAGGTGGCTCAAATGGAGACGCTGGGGAGGAGGAGAGCAGTGGAGGGTTGGTGGTGAGTGAAGAGCTTCAGGAGCAGCTGGTTGATGCGGATCAGACTGAGGAAGAGAACTTAAAGCCAGGCCAGCCGCAGGGTCAGCTGCACATGCCGTCGGCAGCGTCGGCGTTCACCCTTGACTCGATGACTGCTTCGCCCTTCACCCCGCAGCCAGACGGGCTGACAGAAGACACGCCCACAGCAGCACAGGCTGCAGCAGGGGGGGGTGCTACCAGGGAGGAAGGGGCAGGCAGTGCGGTGGAGAAAGGGGGAGGGCGAGGGGGGGTGAAGGGGGTGGTGGGGGTGCGGAGGAGGGCGTGGCAGGTGGCGTTGGTGCTGGGGAACACTCTGTGGCACGTGGCGGCTTTCATGGCTGTGCTGATGTGGCGCGCTGACACCGACACGTGTGTGAAAATGAAGGGGAAGAAGGGGAAGAAGGGAGGAGGTGCGGTGGTACAGCAGCCGGATGGGGGGAGAGGAGGGGCGGAAGGTGGGGGAGGAAATGGGGGGGGAGAGAATGGGGGGAGGTTTGTGTTTGGAGTGAGCGGGCCGCTGTCCCTGAGTGACATTTCGAGGGTCCGAAGAGCCTTTGGTGCAGTGAGTTGCATGGGGCTGGCTGGGCCTTGCTCTGCCATGGTATGCTGCGCCATACAGTGCTATTCCATGCCACACCATGCCATGCCACACCATGCCGTGCCGCACTGTGTTGTGCAGTAACTACTCAGCTTGAGACCATGACCATGTTCACAGCGTGCTCAGCTGCCCATCATTCAATTATTGACATCATTGTGAGTGTATGCTTGAAATTCCTTCCACAACCCGTACCACAACCCCTTTCACCACCCCTTTCGCCACCCCTTTTCCACAACCCTTTTCCACAACCCTTTTCCTCAACCCCTTTCCACAACCCCTTTCCTACAACCCCTTTCACAAACCCTTTTACTACCCCTTTCTCCACCCCTTTTCCACAACGCTTTTTCACAACCCTTTTCCACAACCCTTTTCCACAACCCCTTTCCACAACCCCTTTTCCACAAACCCCTTTCCACAACCCCCTCAGACCATCAACGACGTCTCGGTGACGATCATCTCAGGCGGGCTCGACCGCTACCTGCAGCACCACCACGCCCAGGCTAAGGAGGCAGGTGAGTTAGATTTACTATAAGCAGGTACCAGAGTATATCACGAAAGCGCCTTTATTCATAGAACAATGCATGATCTGCAGCGCTTGAGGTTGGTGGCTGCACCGAAGGCAGCAGGTTAGTTGCCTCCTCCGGTGCCACCACGACCAGGCTGAGCGATTCATCCCCACCATCTCCAAACCATCCTTTCCTCCTTCCGGCAACCCCCGCATACATCCCCAACTACCCTCTCCTCCCTCTCCTAACGGCCCCCTCGCTCTCTCCAAACCACCCCTTTCCCCTCCCAAAAATTCTCCTCCCTCTCTCACCATTCCTCTCCTTCCTCCATACCACGTCTCCATCCCCTCTGTGTCTCCAGGAGAGCCTGCCCCAGTCGTCACCTCCCCGCTGCCTGCCTCTGTTCGCCTCAGTGCGCTCTGCCTTGTCAACATCCGCCCCACGCCTGGACTTCAGGTAAGCCTTCCCTGGTTTTTTGCCAACTCAATGTCTAAGGTATACCTGGCCTCCAGATGAACCTTCCCAAAGCAAGCCTGGTGTCCAGGTAAACCTTCCCCAACAAAACCTGGCATCAACTGCACTTCACTGCACCATGTCAGTACCGCTCTGCACCATGCCATCACTGCACGGCATCATGTCATCACCGCACTGCACCTTCCATGTCTCAGCTCGCTTGACCAAACCCCCTGCTTTCATCAATCGCCCTCCCTGCATCCCCCGCACTCCCTCCATTCTTCCCATGCACTCCCTCCCTTCTTCCACCTCCCCTCCTCTATGCCCCTCAATTCCTTCGCCCAGGAAATGGCCTCGATGCTCGCTGGCCGCTCCAAGGCGCGCTGGGGCAACTGCCTCCTCCACACCGTCCTGCCATTGCCTGTGCGCACACATGTTTCCTTCCCCTCCGTCTCTTCCCTCTCCCCCGTCCCCCTCCCTCCACAGGAAATGGCTTCAATGCTCGCTGGCCGCTCCAAGGCGCGCTGGGGCAACTGCCTCGGCACGTTCCTGCTGCCCTTGCCCGTGCACTCGCCCTCGCTCACCAAAGGGCTGCCGAATACGGAGGGGGCAAATGTGAAGAACACTGACGAAAATGCGGCAGGGGAGGTGGTGGGGCGGCTTAAGAGCAGCGATGAGCAGGCAGCAGGGGAGGTGGAGGGGCGGCGGCTGCGCATGGTGGCGGCCATGTGTGCGTCCAAGCGTCAGTCGCTGGAGGCGCATTACAACTATGTCAATGCACGCCTCGTGCTCGCCACTGCTGGCATGAAGGTGCTTTTCTCCAATCTCTTTCTCGTTTGCCCCTCTTTTTGTCTCTCGTGCTGTCGATTCCTCCCACGACAATTATGTGGCGCGGGTGTAGTTGTAGCGGGAAGAAGCCCGACACGAGCCCGACTCTCTTGTGAAGGTAAGCTCTCTCCGCTTTTGAGTAAACTCAAAAGATTCCCACTATAACTATGTGCATGCCCGGCTCGGCTCGGCAAGTTGGCACTGCTGGCATGAACATGAGCTCTCTGCCCCCCCCCCCCTCCCCCTCCCCTCCCCCCCTCTCCAGCCTTATTTCCTCGCATCTGCCTCTGTTGTGTTTCCTCTCAACTTATGCTGTTCTCTGCCAAACTCCTGCTGTGTTTCCCCACCTTCTGCCCATGCGCGCCCTTCTCAGTTGTCACAAGCAGCTGCGGCGCTGATTCGCAGCACCCTTCCTTTTCAGGCCGATGCTCTGCCTGCCTTTTCAAGTTTTGAGGCGCCTCAAAACGATGTTCTGCCTGCCTTTTCAAGCTCACTTGTCTCGCCTCCCTCCTTTTCCCCCCCCCTCCCCTCTCCCCCCCCCTACCCACCTTCTCCCCTCCTCCCCCCCAAGCTGCAGGAGCCCTGATGCACGGCGTGTGCCTTCAGACCACCATTTCGTTTTACAACATGATGCGCCCAGCGGAGGAGGTCATATCTTTCTCCCTGTACCCTCTTGAACCCCCCTCCTAACCCCTCTCAACCCCCCAAGCAGCAGCAGCCCTGTGCACACAGCCTGTGCCATGCCGTCCGACCGGCATGCCCTTTTGCAGCATGATGGGGCCTGTGGAGGAGGTCCCAACCCCCTCCCCTGCCACCTCTCGTGATCTTGCCTCTGCTTCCAGGCAGCGGGAGCACTGATGCACCGCCTGTGCCATCAGACCACCATTTCGTTTTCCAACATGATGGGGCCTGTGGAGGAGGTCAGCTTGGGCGGCCATGCCATCGCCCGCATCAGCCCCACCGTTGTGGGGCAGCCGCATGTGAGTGATGTGGGTGAAGGGTGATAGGTGCGGGTGAGTGATGGGCAATAGGTGCGGGTGAGTGATGGGCGATATGTGCGGGTGAGTGATGGGCGATCCCTCTCCCCTGTTCCCCACGACCCCTCTCCCCTCCATCAGGCGCTCACTCTGCATTTCCAGACGTACAACGGCTCGGCGCACATAGTGCTGTCAGCTCTGAGGGAGAATGTGCCCGATCCGGCCTTTCTCCTGCGCTGCTGTGAAGACGCCTTCCATGCTCTCAAGGCATCGTTGAAGTAGTGTGGGAGTGGGAGAGGGGTCACGTGAGAATGGGAAAGAATCTTCCACTTCTTGCTCACCCCGTTGCTGAGTGAACTTGTGTCATACGGCATGCAGAAGACGTTTGTTATGGACCTTACAAAGCATTCCATTGCTTGCAGAAGCTGCGGGGATTCTTTTCCCCTTGTGTTGTGTCGCTGCTCAATGAGGAAAATGAGAAGAATGCATTCAATCGGAGTAACAATGTACGGTACTGTTGAGGTTCACATCACCAATTTAGCTGGCGCTTGCTGGTGGAGTATTTAGAATCTAGCTGCGATTGTTGAACAAATATCTATTCCATCCTCAATGGCAGAGAATATAAGTGATTATACTGTATAATCTCTTGTTACTTGAGTGTATTTTGTTCTGTCAGATGTACGTGCTTTTGCACGAGCTGCAAGGCTCATTGATAGGGAGGAAAAGAAGCATGGGATAATATCTAAGCGCTTTTCAAACCACGGCTGGCGGCTGAATCCATGGCATCCAGAGCCAGTAATTTACTGCCTGGTTCACATCTGGGATGCTGTACCTTCGTAGGCAAAGGCTTGGTCGGACATACTTCACCCCCAAGCTCCAATCATGAGAGATCGGATTTAAATTCTCGCTCGTAGGCTCGCGAAAGGCTTAGGAAGTCGCCATGGCTGCTCGGCGAAGCTCGTCAGACGCGAAACCGGGATCGGATTTGGAGGGAGGGGACGATATGAGGGAGGAGGAACGCGGATGGAGCCCGTCAGAGGGAAGCGAGGGGTCGAGCGACGGAAGTAGAGGCAGCGACGGGAGTAAAGGCAGCGATGGAAGCAGGGACGAGGGGGAGGAGCGTGGCGAGGAATCGAGACGAGATCCGGACGAAATTGTAACTGAGGCGGACGAAGAGAGAGAGGAGAGGAAAGACTCGGAAGGAGATGATGGTGAGGGGGATGAGGAGGAGGAGGAGGAGGGGGAGGGGGAGGATGGGGAGGAGGAGGGGGATGGGGACGAGGATGCGGACAGGGAGTCCGCTCACTCTTCCCCCGCGCGCCACTCGTCCCCCGCGCGCCGTCTTCCGCATCTCCCCGCAGCTCTCGCGCCCGCCTCCCCTCCCCCCGCGTCTCCCCCGCTCCCGCTGCCAGCCGTGTCCCCCGCGCCCTTGGAACGCGCACGAGTCACGACTCCCTCTGACGATGACGAGGATGATGACGTGGCGGATGACGTCGATGACGTGGACGAAGATCGCCGCGTGGGCCCGCGGCTACCACGTCGGCCAGCTAGAGCCCTAGAATCCACGCGGGCTGTAGCGCGGGGGGGGACGGCTGTAGCGCAGGGGATGACTGTAGCAGATCTGGAATTCCCGGGGTCGCTCCTAGGCACGATCATGGACGGGTTGGGCAAGTGGCCTTGGACGGTTTGGCCCAACCACATGCGCTCGTGCCTCGCTGCTGCTGCACGCATACTATACGCCGCTGGTGCTGCTGGTGCTGCTGGCGCTGCTGGTGCTACTGGCGCTGCTGGTACTGGTGGTGCTAGTAGCGGGGGATCCGATCGATCTAAGCCATCCGAGGGAGCTGAGCCTATAGTGAGACTGGAGGGCTTTAAGGGACTAGACCCTGGCGATGTGGGTCCTATAGTGAGCCCGGCAGTGCGAGCAGAGGCGCAGCGCCTGCTAAGGCGACCCGTTCTTAGGCGCAAGCTGGGCACTCTCTTAAAGGAGGCGGCGCCTAGCCTGTTTGACAAGTGCTTGGATGATAGGGCGATCTGGAAGTGGGGGCGGGACGTGCACGGGAATATCTTCGAGGCGTTTCTGTCGCTGATGGATGTGATTATAGTGAAGCTTCCGGAGGTGCTTATAGCGAGGGAGGCGCTTGCTGCTTCTGCTGCAGGGGGGTTGGTGGATGGGGGGGAGGGAAAAGGGAAGGGGGGGAGAGAGAGGAAGGAGGAAATAGAGGAGGCAGAGAGAAGGAGTGTGGAGGTGGAGGAAGAAATGGCGGGACTATTGGCAGCCATGGCACAGGGATGGGACAGCACGTGCCAGTTCCACTGCAAGCACAAGAACGAGCAGCTGCCACGTGTCGCCCCACGATTGGACCGTCCGTGCTTCTATGCCATCTCTATTCCCCTCGACCCTGCCCCTGTCGGCCCGTCCCTCCCAGGACTCCCCCTCCCCGGCCCCCAGGCGGCAGGGGGGAGGAGAGGCGCGGGGGGAGGAGGGGAGGGGGAGGAGGGCGGGGGCCTGGGGGCGCACCAGTGGCTGGTGCGGTTTCTGAACTACTTTGGAGAGACGGCGTATGGGAACGGGTATAGCCGCGTGGTGCACACGCTGGTAAGACTGATGGAGGGGTTTGAGAAGCAGTGCAGCACGCATGCCGCCAGGCAAGAGGCGCTCAGGCAGCAACAGCAGCAGCAGCAGGGGGGGGATGCCACAGGAAGGGAGGCAACAGGGACAGCGCCCCCGTCGCCGTCAGCATCACTCCCCTACCCGCGCATGCCCCTGGTGGCAACTGAGGCGCTGCTGAGGCCCTTGGCGACTGGAGCTGAGTTCCTCACTCCACACGTCGGCAACATGCTGCTGCAGGTGCGTGCCTAGCGTCCTCGTGAGTCGTCTCAGGCACAGAGCGCTGCTGCGACCCTTGGCGACTGCAACTGGGTTCCTCACTCCACGTGTCGGCAGCATGCTGCTGCCGGTGCGCCATGCACCTTGAGGCTTGAGCTGGCAAGGCAGAGAACACGCCATTGTTTTGGTTGCGTATGGTTCGTGCGTACATCATTCCTGTCCCCCTCGTTCCCCTCTCCCTCCCCCCTCTCCTCAACCCCCCCTTACTTTCTCCCCCCCAGCCATGCAGAGTCACCCTGCTTGTGATCACGCCAACCACTTGAGCACTCTAATGAGGGCCCCAGGGACGGATCGTTTCACTGCCTCTCCCTCACGCTGCGCCCCTTATCCATCCCCCTCTCCTCAAACCCCCTTCCCTTCCCCCCCCCAGCCTTGCAAAGCCATCCTGCTCGTGATCACTCGCTGCATCGCCAACCACCTAGATTCTCTCAACGAGGGCCCCAGGGACGGCTCGTTCCAGTGCCTCTCTCTCACGCTGCGCCACCTGCGAGCTCTGCTCGCCCTGCCCTCCTCTGCCCGTAAGGTGCGCGCCATTCTCAGCGCCATAGAGGAGGCGGAGGGGGGGCAGGGGGAGGGGCAGGGGGAGCAGGGGAGGGGCCACGGTGCTGGGGGCAAGAGTGGTGCAGGGACAGAGGGAGGACAGAAGGGGGATCGTGGGGGGAATGAAGGGGAGCGGGATGATGACAAGGGGGAGGAGGGGGAAGACGATGAGGAGGAGGAGAGTGATTATGAGGACGATGATGATGATGACATGGAGGTGGCAGCAGAGGCGGTGGTGGGCGCGGTGCAGCGGCGCATGGTGCGGCGTATGCTGGGGTTGCCGTCATTCAACAAGCAGCTCACCGCCGCCCGGGAGATCAACCGCATGCTGGAAAGTTCCGCTGCGTTGGTGGTCAGGTGAGTGGTCAGGTGAGTGGTCAGGTGAGTGATCAGGTCAGGGTTTCCGCTGCATCCCTCCCTCACTTATGGCAGATTCTCGAGAATTATCAGAGACCCACCGCACCGCATAGGTGAGCTGGTGGGCTGTTGTTGGGTGTGTGTGAAAAAGGGAGCATGGTGAGGCGAGGCGCATGCTGGGGTTTACAGTTGCAGTCACGTAAAGACCTATGGCACCCAAGTGGTGTTCACTCGGGCTGTCGTTGGGTGTGAATAAGGGAGCATGGTTGAGGCGCATGCTGAGGCTGCCGTCCTTCAGCAAGTAGCTGACAGCTGTGCGCTCTGCTGTGTGTTATGTTATGTGCTGTGTGCTGTGTGCTCTGCTGTGTGTTATGTGCTGTGTGCTGTGTGCCCTGCTGTGTGTTATGTGCTCTGCTGTGTGTTATGTGCTCTGCTGTGTGTTATGTGCTCTGCTGTGTGTTATGTGCTCTGCTGTGTGTTATGTGCTGTGTGCTGTGTGCCCTGCTGTGTGTTATGTGCTCTGCTGTGTGTAATGTGCTCTGCTGTGTGTTTTGTGCTCTGCTGTGTGTTATGTGCTCTGCTGTGCGTTATGTGCTTTATGCCGTGCTGTGTGCTGCATCCCTACGTGCCGTGCATGTGTCCTTGCTTCAGTCCAAAGCGGTGGCATCATCAATCGACTGGCTGAAATCCATTCCAATCCAATGACATCTCCCATCCCACGTGCCTACGTCCTTGTCTGCTGGTACTGTGCTCCATGAGTGCCATGAGCATGAGTCGGATGAAACACCAGTTTGGTTTGGAGCCATTGAAATAACTCCTTTATATTGTGTTCTGTTCCTCATGTGCCGCATGCCCTGGTTGCAGGGACAAGGGGATGGCCGCGGCGTCAACAATGGACTGGCTGGAGGCCAATGATATTCTGCCACTTGTCCTCCGCTCCAACCTCCACCACAAGCAATATGTTGACCAGGTGCGTCCACTTAAGCCAAATCCCCAACAGCCAACTCCAATATCTAATGCATAATGTGGACGCTGCTCAACCAGCAGGGGCTCTTGCACAAGCACCTGGACGCACTGTGGCCTCCGTGTGGCCGAGGTGGCTGCACACGGTGCAGAGGGAGGGCGCGCGCGTTGTGTCCGCACCGCACTCCTCCGCCCTCTCTCCCGCCTCCCCCTTCCCCCGCCCTGCGCCCCCTCAGGTGGAGCGCATAATGTGGACGCTGCTCAACCAGCAGCGGCTCTTGGACGAGCACCTGGACACAGTGAGGCCTACTCCCGTCCAAGTATGCGCCCCCCTCCCCCAACCCCCCCACCCCGCAACCCCCCACTCTCTCAGGGGCTCGCATAATGCACACATATTGCTCAACTAGCAGCGGCTCTTGGAGGAGCACCTGGACTCGTTGTGTCCTTGCTCTCGTTCCCCCATCACGCCCGCCCACTCCCCGCTCTCCCCCTCTTCCGTCACGTTCCCCTCTCACTTGCAGGTGGAGAGCATAATGCGCATGCTGCTCAGCCAGCAGCGGGTCTTGGACAAGCACCTGGACACAGTGAGGCCTACTCCCGTCCCGTCCCTTCGTCCCTTCGTCCCTTCGTCTCTACGTCCCTACGTCCCAGTATCCCCCCAATCCCCCCCTCCCCCCGCCCCCCCCCCCCCCCCCCCCCCCTCTCTCAGGTGGAGCGCATACTGCGCGTGCTGCTGAACCAGCAGCGCCTCTCGGACAAGCACCTGGAGGCACTGTGGTCCGCCACTGAGAAACCCGACCAGTTCGAAGCGGTGAGAGGCGGTTGAAAGCGGCAGTAACCATGAGAAGCAGAGAGAGGAAGTTAAAAGCTGGGAGGCACGTGAGAGGCTGCTGTGGTGAGAGGTGGCTGGGCGGTTGGTTGTGAGTGACTCATGTGGCAGCCGGTGAGGCACATGGGGTGACTTTTGAGTCAACTCAAAAGTCACCTCGTTACAATGTCAAGGTTAAAAGCAGTGCTGTTAAAAAAAAAAAAAAAAAAACCGTATAAAACGGTATCAAATAAAACGGCCGTTTAATACGAAATAGATGGTGAGAATTGTGCTTTTTGGGCTGGCAAAAAAAAACGGCCGAAAAAAAAAAAAAAAAAAGTGCAAAAAAATCCGAAAAAATGCGCGGATTTGACATTTCGACTGCCAAAATGCACGGATCTCGCATTTTGCCGGCTAAAATGTGCCAGATTTTGCGTTTTTGGCAGACGAACGCAGGGATCTGTTGTTTGTCAGCCGAACCGTCAAAGTGCGCGGATCTCGCATTTGCGCAGGCGAAATGCCGGATCTGGCGGTCGATTAGGCTGTCTACCAGAAAAAAAAAAGGAAAAAAAGTTGCGATGCTGTATTAAAAAAACCGGCGTTTTTTCCCCAAAATCCCCGGAAAAAACGGTCGAATAGTACGGGCCGTATTTTTCGAAAACCGTAATTTGAACCTTGAATGTCACACAACACTTTTGATCCGACTCAAAAGTCACCTCTTTACAATGTTGCACAACACTTTTGAGTCGACTCAAAAGGCACCCGGTGAATGTCAGCCGGTGAGGCACACGTGATAGACTCAGCCATCATGATTCATGACGCTTCCCGTTCCTCCCTCCGCGACCTTCCCTCCTCTCCCTCACAGGCAACAAGTAACATCTTTGACTTGCTGGCGAGTTTGGGGCGCCTCAAACCCTTTTCACTGGCAACAGAAGAACACCTTCGACTTTTTGGCAGGGCTGTTCTTCTAGACGTGTAAACCCCCCCCCCCCAACCGCTTCCTTCCTCTCAACTTTTTGCCCCCCCGCAGGTGAAGAACAACATATTCGACCTGCTGGCTGAGCTTGCTTGGTCCTTCTCAGACGAACACCTCGACTCCCTCTTCTCGCGCCTGCAGCACATTCAGGTGAGTTCTTTTCCCCGCAGCCGCAGCGCAGCCATCCCTCCCTCGCTTGTTGAACGCAATGCCTTGCGGCACATCCATCCACGTGACTCCCTCGTCTCGCGCCTGCAGCGCAGCCGGGTGGAATCCTTTTCCCCCGCAGGCGCAGCCATCCCTCCATCACTTGTGTCATGCATTGCATTGCAGCACATGCAATCCACGTGAATCCCTCTTCTCGCTCCTGCAGCGCAGCCAGGCGACTCCCCTGAAACCTGCTTCAATCTCGTTCAATCTCTTCTATTTTGTGGCGTGTAGTCATTATTCTCTGGCATCCGTTTACAGTTTACTACTCCAAGGCATAGTATTAAATTCGGTCGTACATTGCTGTTGCAATGCAAGGCACCATCCGCTTCCTGTTCTCCGTTCCCTCCCCCCCCTCCCCTGTCAGGCCCACTCAGCAGCTGACTGATCGTAGCTTCTCTTGTGGATGGAATGATCGTAAATCATGATCGTTCTTCAATCATTCCATCCATGATCGTTCTCTCCTTCTTCGCACCTTCCTCTTCCCACCAGGGTCGCTCAGCAGCTGACATGGCTAAGCCGATGCAGCTGGTGAAGAGACTGGCTGGCGCGATTTGACACTTGGCAGAGGCATGGCATCCTGAGCTGATCCATCCAGCTTGGAGCGCCCTCCCTTATTACCGCTCTCCCTTTTGCACCTCCCCTCCCCTCCAGGGTCGCTCAGCAGCTGGCATAGCTAAGCTGGCGCAGCTGGTGAAGAAGCTGGCTGGCGTGATTGGGTCCTTGGCGGGGTTCATCCAGCTTGAGCTGGTGGTGACTCTGCTCTGCACCTTCCCTTATTGTCGCCCTCCCCCTCGCCTTGCATCCTCCCGCTTCTACAGGGTCGCTCAGCGGCGGACATTGCAAAGTTGATGCAGCTAGTGAAGAAGCTGGCGAGATCTGATTCCCGTGGAGTCATGGCCTCCAGGTGAGAATCTGTGGCTTTCAAGCGACCGTGGATTTCAGGTGAATTCCTGTGGCTTTCAGGTTAATTCCTGTGGCTTGTGAAATTCCTTGGCTTTTAGGTGAATTTTGTGGCCTTTTCATGAGTTATAATGGCTGCCAGGTGAGTTTCCAGTTGCATGGCAAGGCGTTGTACTTTTCTCTTCAAGGCATGGCTGCTGGTAACGTTGACCTAAAAAATATCGTCTCATCACACAACGCATCACAATCTTGAATCTTCACCAGCAGGGCTTGTAACGTCAAGTGATGCTTTCATTAGGCTCTTCCCCACCATCTTCCCCACCATCTTGTCCCACTTCCCGTGCCGCTGCATCTCCCCTGCCTCTCTCACCCTCTCCCCCTACTCCCTTCCCTCCCCCTGCCCTTGCTCTTCTTCTTGCAGGTTGCTGCAGCTGCTGTGGACGCTCGTGTTTGACCCGCCTCAGGCTCACCCTACACCCAGTAGTTCAGCATCAGCATCAGCATCAGCAGCAGCAGCAGCAGCAGACGTGGCTTCAGTGAACGTGCTTGAATCGAAGGCCCTGACAGAGGTGCTTGGGCACTATGCGTCTGTCGGGTGTGCCAATAAAGAGGTGAGGTTTTGGCGCAATATCGTTTTTTCTAGACACACTTTTTATTCGCAATATCGAATAGTTTAATTTTGAAGTGGCCAGTCCTCCTTCCATTCCCCCGCCCAACCCGTTTCGAACCCCCCTTCCCTTTTGCGGTACAGGCAGCAGTGCCTGCAGGCCGTATCAAGGGAGGAATGTGTCATTCCGGCCCTCCAGCTGCTCCCTCTCCTAGGCTCCTCAAGTTGCCAGTCCCCTCCTCTCCCCCCTCACCCCCCCCTCCCCCCCACCCCCACCTCGTCCTTCTTCTCCTGGGCAGGAGTACATGCAGCGGTGTCTGCAGGCGGTATCAAGGGAGGAGTGTGTCATTCCAGCCCTCCAGCTGCTGCGGGAGATCATCTCTTTGCACCCCAGCCCTGCTCCAGCCGTTGAGGTACGTCACACTTCTTGCGGATGTTTTCCGAGAGATTGTCAAGTAACAGAACTTCTGCTGCTGGGGACCCATCCCTTTGCACCCCAACCCTGCTCCAGCCGCTGCAATTCTGTCACTCTCCCTCCGTCTGCGCCTCTTCTTTCCCTTTGACTCCCACTCTTTCCCTTTCCCATTTCTCCCTTCCTCCCCTTCCCCCCCCCACCCCCTCCCAGCTCATCCCGTCCCCGTCCCCCCCCTCCTGTCTCATTCCCCTCTCTGTTGTCGTTTCACCTTCTCGTGTCCCCTTCCAACCGCTCGTGTCCCCTTCCAACCGCTCGTGTCCGCTTCCAACCGCTCGTGTCCGCTTCCAACCGCTCGTGTCCCCTTCCAACCGCTCGTGTCCGCTTCCAACCGCTCGTGTCCGCTTCCAACCGCTGGTGTCCCCTTCCAACCGCTGGTGTCCCCTTCCAGCTGCTCGTGTTCCCTTCCAACCATTCTGCTACGCAATTAGTAGCTCTTTGAGAGAAGTCCGTTCTTTTACTTGCTCTGACTTGTGGGCGACCGCAGCGCATTTTGAGCTTTGTTCGACTTCTCCTCCTCCCTGTGTCGTTCTCCTTCTCTGTATGCCTTTACTCATCGAGCCTAGCTGGCTCTAAACCCCTTCAACCCATGCAGGTGACTTTTGAGTCGACTCAAAAGTCACCTCATTACTCATCGAGCCTAGCTGGTTCTAAACCCCTTCAACCCATGCAGGTGACTTTTGAGTCGACTCAAAAGTCACCTCATTACTCATCGAGCCTGGCTGGTTCTAAACCCCTTCAACCCATGCAGGTTCCCTTATTCCACCCCGGGTTCTCATTCTTGCTGCCCTCCTGCTCTCTATCGCTTTCTATTGCTGCATTTTCTTGCCGTTTCTGCTTTTGTGTTTTCATGGTGCAGGAGCAGCAAATGCTGCAGGCACAGCTGCTGTCGTTGAATGCAAGTCATGAGCTTGAGTACACTGTAAGTATGCAGTACACTGTAAGCATGCAGTACACTGTAAGGAGTACACTGTAAGCATGCAGTACACTGTAAGTAGACATGGGCATGAGCCGAGCCTGGTTCGGCTCGGCTCATCCAGGGGTCGAGCCGAGCCGGCTCGCCGTCGAGCCTGGCTCGGCTCGAGTCGCGCCGGGCACCAAACATGCCTGGCTCGGCTCGCATTTCTGTGGGCGAGCCAGGGCTGGCTCGACGGCGAGCCGGCTCGGCTCGGCTCGCCTAGCATGCGCTTGAGCCAACAGTAGTGTGCGCTGGAGCCTATGCAAGCGCGCGTTGTTAAGAGTGTTAGAGGTTAGGTTGGAAGTTGTAGATGCAATAGTGTGCAGTGCGGTTGAGCGGGGCAAAAGGGTTGGATGGGTTTTGCGACTGGTTGAATTCGCCAGGTCGCAATGTCGCGGGAAAGAATTCCGCGACAAACATTTTGGGCGGGCATTTAGCGTTTACCGTTTAAACGCAGCGTTTAAACGCTAAACGCTGCACCGCCAGAGCGTTTGCGGGAACATAGACCAGGAGTTGTTGGCGGGAGAGAGAAATAAGAGACACGTCTTGTCAAGGGGGAAATTACCCTTGAAATCGAGTGGCGAGCCACTTGGCTCGAAATCGAGCCGGGTATGAGCCGGCTCGACCCCGGCTAGACGAGTACATCGTGTACAAGCTGAGTTGAGCTGGCTGGCTCGACCGAGCTGAGCCGGCTCGGCTCGAGTCGAGCCGGATCCCAAAAAGAAAGGTTCGGCTCGCCATTTTTGGCGAGCCGAGCTGAGCCTAGCCGAGCCGGATGTGGCTCGGCTTGTGCCCATGTCTAACTGTAAGCATGCAGTATGCTGTAAATATGCAGTACATTGTAAGTATGCAGTACACTGTAAGCATGCAGTACACTGTAAGTATGCAGTAGACTGTAAGCATGCAGTACGCTGTAAATATGCAATTCAGTACACTGTAAGTATGCAGTACACTGCATACGCAGAGTACACTCTCAATGCGTGCGGGCACGAGTGTAGTGTGCGAGCACGAGTGTAGTGTGCGGGCACGAGTGTAGTGTGCGAGCACGAGTGTAGTGTGCGAGCACGAGTGTAGTGTGCAGGCGCGAGTGTAGTTTGCGGGCACGAGTGTAGTGTGCAGGCACGAGTGTATTGTGCGAGCACGAGTGTTGTGTGCGGGCACGAGTGTAGTGTGCGAGCACGAGTGTAGTGTGCAGTGCAAGCAGAGCTGCTAGAAGCGCAGTTCCACCGCAGCTCATCCCCTATCTTGTCTGACGATACTTGGTGGAGTAAGCACGATTACAAGCGCGCGCACAATTACAAGCGCGCGCACGATTACAAGCGCGCACATGATTACAAGCACGCGCAAGATTACAAGTGTAGAAAAGTAGACTCAATGTGCATGGTTGTAAGATGCACAAGTTGGAGATGGTAAAGAAAAGATAGGTTTCAAGAGTAGCCCTAGAAAGTGTAAGACATAGTAGTGAATAGAGCTAACAAAGACATTGGGCTAAGTAGGCCTAGATTGTGAAGAAGAGAGAGCTGGAGACATGCTGGGCGACTTGGGCTGGTCCAGGTGAGGAGAATGGCACCCAAGAGACCTGGGCTGCCAAATGGGTGCTCAAGTCGCCCACAGTCAAGGTGGGTACGTCATGAACCCTCAAAGTGGGCCTAGACTGGAATCGCCCCCACTAGTGGAACCGCGATTCCACAAGTTGGATTTGTGGTTCCACAAGCTGGAGCCGCGTTTTCATGGTTGACAAACGTGGGTCCAGGTTGGAGCCGCGTCCCAAATGTTAGGATGCGTGGTGAGGTACCCCACTTCGGATTTTAGGGTGCCTAGCCCTTGATAAAATCACTTAGGGGCATCCTATTCCTAATATAATTCAACCCTTAATGTCTACACCTAATATAATATTAAACATTACATATAACAGAGAAATATACTAAGTTAACTACATCCCAGATAAAAGCCCAAAAGTACTCAACAACAACAAGCACGCGCAGGATTACAAGCACGCGCACGAGCACAAGCACGCGCACGAGTATACTGTGCTAGTGCTCCCTTTCTTCTGGCAGTTTGCTTGGAAGAGCACGAGCACGAGCTGAAGGAAAGGCGGCTGCTGCACCTCGTCGTGCGCCACTGCCATCACGACCCGCACCACCACCACGACCAGCGCCACGCCCACCCCCACGCCCTCCCCTGGTGTTGCGCTGCTGAGCAACAGCAGCAGTGGAGGAGGAATGGCGCAATAGGTCGGCCTCAGCGGTGATAATCCACTGGGCGATTTCAGCCGGGGTGATGCGCTTGTCGATCCGCTGCATGGAGGCGATCTTGTGGGTGTCGAAGGCAGGAGTCAAGCCTTAAAGGAGGTGGCAGCAGAGTACTGGGTTTGGGTACGGCACACCAAGAGCCGCCAGGCGCCGAGCAAGGTCGAGGACGCGACGCGTGAAGGCAGCTGCGCCGGTGGTAGAGTCCATGGTGAGGCTCTGGAACTCCTTGATGAGGGAGTAGAGGGTGGCAACGTCCTGCCGATCATAGAGATCGGTGAGGAGCCGCCAGAGGTGGGAGGAGGAGGTGGGAGCAAGCTCCCGCTTGAGGGTGGGAGGAATGGTGACGAGGAGGATGGTGAGAGCGCGCCGGTCAACGACACGCCAGGCGGTGAGGTCGGTGATGTATGCGCGCTCGCGCCTGGCGTACTCCTCGAGCGTCGCCTGGTAGGTGTTGTAGGTGGCAGTGGCGGCGTCATGCTCGGCGCGGGAAGCCTCGTAGAGCAGTTGCTGGCGGACGTGGTCGGTGAGGCCGGCACGGTAGGTGCGGATGGCGGCCTCGGAGCTCTGAGGGTCGTTGACGTTAGGGGCGAAGGTTGGAGGATCGCCGGGGCTGACGAGAGCATCTCCAGGAGGAGGAGGTGCAAGGCCCGCGGGAGCATCCGGCTGGGCAGGCTGAAGACCGTGCTCCTCATGATGGACAACGGCTTTCAGGTTGTAGCCGTTGACCGTCACCGAGGAGAGAAGCACCGTGACGATTTGGGCATAGGAATGCCAATTGGCTGCGGTGTTGTCGGGCAGCAGCTCAAGAGCCTCGGTGAAGGTAAGGTCCACTGAGGAATCGGACGCCATTGAGGAGGAGGGGAAGGAAGGGGAAGAGGAGGGGAAGGAAGGGGAAGAGGAGGAAAAGGAAAGGAGGAGGAGAAGGAGGAGGAAGGAAAAGAGTAGGTGCGCGACACGCTCCAAGGAGGATGCGGCGGCTGGCAGCACGCCGAAATGGCGTGACGAACGGGTGCACGCGACGGCGGAATCGACGACGGGGGCGCGCGACGGAGAAATCAACGACGGGCGTGGAGAGCAGGGGCGCGACGGGAGGATTTGTCGACGGGCGTGCGCGGGAGCCGTGACGGACAGACGAGCGGAGAGCGCGGCGGACGGGCGCGCGCAAACGCGAAGGGCGCGCGACGAGAGGGCGCGACGACGGGCCGCGCGATGGAGGAGCGCAACAATGGGCGCAGTAGGAGGATGCGATGGGCAGAGTCGCGTCGTCAAGCGCGACAAGAGGCGTACGGCGGAAGGGAGAGCGGGCGCAGCAAAAGGCGCGCGACGGGAGGATGAGCGGGCGTGACGGAGTAGCGCGGTGGGAGAGGGCGCACGGGGGCGCGGGAAGTAGCCTAAGGAAGGGCTAGGCTTCGAAGACGAGGAGGGACTGCATAGGGCCATGCTACTAGAGGTGGTGTGAGCCGTTGTGGCTCTGATACCATGAAGGAAATAGTTTAGAGGAGAAATGATTGAAATGAGTAGGGAGCCAAGAGGCTCTATTGTACAAAACAAGGAGCAAGGAAGAGTTGGAAGGGAAGCTCTCGTATTGGCCATAAAGTTGACCAATGGGAGAGTTTGCTTGTAAGGCAAGCAACCACAAACTGTGGTGCTCTCCGATTGGCCACAATGTGGACCAATGGGAGGGATTGCTTGGAAGGCAAGCAACCACAAATTGTGATGCTTGGTGATTGGTTGGTTCCTAGGACCAAGGACCATTTGGTTGGAATAGTGCCAACCAAATGTCTAGGACCAAATCCAATCTTGACCAACCCAAATGTGGGGTTGGTCAACCCAACCAACAACCCCCCAATAATTATAATGACTACACCTCCTAATCTAGGCATGCATGTTGTATAGATATATATTCTACAACACGAGCTTGCTGCTACCCTACCCGTTTCTTGGTGGAGAGCACGAGCACGAGTACAAGATGCAGTGCAAGCCCCGTTGCTAGAAGGCCTGCTCATGCGACTCACGCTACGTCGCAGTTGAAATGTGATATGGCCTCAAAAAGTCTTACCTTATGCTATCGAAACGGTTATTTCTCCTCCTCCTCCTCCTCCTCCTCCTCCTCCTCCTCCTCCTCCTCCTCCCTCCTCCTCCTCCTCCTCCTCCTCCTCCTCCTCCTCCTCCTCCTCCTCCCTCCTCCTCCTCCTCCTCCTCCTCCTCCTCCTCCTCCTCCTCCTCCTCCTCCTCCTCCTCCTCCTCCTCCTCCTCCTCCTCCTCCTCCTCCTCCTCCTCCTCCTCCTCCTCCTCCTCCTCCTCCTCCTCCTCCTCCTCCTCCTCCTCCTCCTCCTCCTCCTCCTCCTCCTCCTCCTCCTCCTCCTTCTCCTCTTCCTCCTCCTCTTCCTCTCCTTAATGTTTCCTCTTTCCCCCCACCTCTCCCCCCCTGTCTGAGGTACTCGGCAGTCTGCAGATGCACAAGTGCCTTGCGATGACTTTTGAGTCGGCTCAAATACCCCGTGTTGCGTCTCCCCCGGTCTCTTCTCCCTCAGGTGTTGGGAAGTCTGCAGACCTACAAGGGCCTCGCTCGCTCCCTCTTTGCCTCTGCGCGCTCTGCCTCTCCGCGGCTCACACAACCAATCAAAGGGAGAACGCCAGCAGCACCCACCAGCAGTGACAACCCCCTTCCAAGCAGCCCCCTTCCAACCAGCCTTTTTCCGAACATCAGTCGCAGCAGCTCCGCATCCATCAGTGGTGGCAGTGTGTTGCCCACCAGCGGCGGCAGCCCCATGCAGGGAGTGGAGGAGGCACGGGCGGACTGCACGGCTGGGGATGCAGAGGAGGAAGGATTGCTCCAGACAATGGACTGTACCAAGCAGCGAGTGCAGCAGCAGCAGCAGCAGCAGCATGTGCAGCTGCGGCGGCAGCTGGAGCAATGCACGTTGGTGGATGGCAGACACTCTCACCGCGACAACATCACCGCCCGCCTCTCCTTCCTCCTATGGGCGCTGCAGGTGCTACTTTTCTTGCCGCTTTGACATCGCACAATCAGTCAGTTGTTGTCATGCACACTTGACTTGCTCCAAGCACACTATGCCCACTGCTAAAAAACTACTGACCATTGTTCATGCACAGTCGTATCCCTTTTTGGCCTCTTGCCTCATACACAGGTGTACCTTCCCCTACCCAAACACCGAGCTTAAACCCTACACCCTCTGGCGGGCGGTATGGAGCTACAGCCAGAGGGGCTGCGGGTGATTCGGTCAGAGTTAGTGGCGCACCCAGCAGAATGCCTCATGGTGTACCTTCTTCTCCCTCGCGCTCCCCGAATTCCGATCCCAAACATTTGACTTCACACTCCAGGCTGGAGGCATGGATGAAGCTTTTTGAGAATTCTCAAAATCAGCAGGAGGGGCTGCGGCGGGTGATCCGGACGGCGCTAGTGGAGCACCCAGCATGCCTGCCCTCCCATGGGCGGCTCAAACACCAGTGCCCCCTTCTCCAAACCCGTACACCCTCCTTAACCCTGAACCCTCAGGCCGGTGGCATGGAGCTACAGCCTGAGGGGTTGCGGGTGATCTGGACAGAGCTGGTGGAGCACCCAGCATGCTGTGAGGACCGGCAGCTGGCGCTGGCATGGCTGTGCGACGCCTTGGAGGGGAGGGACGGGGGCGAGTGGAGGGAGGCCGGTGGGAAGAGAGGGGAGGCTGGGAGTGGGAGTGGGGGGTTGGGGTGGTGGGCTGTGCTGTGAGCTCCGCGGGACAGCTGGCGCTTTTGGATTGGTTGACGCAGCTTCCTCCGGAGCAGTTCTCGCCAGTGGCTTGGAGGTAAGCTTACAGCTGCGATTTGTGCCTGCAGTCGCTGCTGTCATCTGTTACCTGTATTGCACGCACTGACTCTATATTTGAGGCGCCTCAATAATAGTCCCTGCTGTCATCTGTTACCTGTGTTGCACGCACTGACTTCTATATTTGAGGCGCCTCAATAATAGTCCCTGCTGTCATCTGTTACCTGTATTGCACGCACTGACTTCTATATTTGAGGCGCCTCAATAATAGTCCCTGCTGTCATCTGTTACCTGTATTGCACGCACTGACTTCTATATTTGAGGCGCCTCAATAATAGTCCCTGCTGTCATCTGTTACCTGTATTGCACGCACTGACTTCTATATTTGAGGCGCCTCAATAATAGTCCCTGCTGTCATCTGTTACCTGTATTGCACGCACTGACTTCTATATTTGAGGCGCCTCAATAATAGTCCCTGCTGTCATCTGTTACCTGTATTGCACGCACTGACTTCTATATTTGAGGCGCCTCAATAATAGTCCCTGCTGTCATCTGTTACCTGTATTGCACGCACTGACTTCTATATTTGAGGCGCCTCAATAATAGTCCCTGCTGTCATCTGTTACCTGTATTGCACGCACTGACTTCTATATTTGAGGCGCCTCAATAATAGTCCCTGCTGTCATCTGTTACCTGTATTGCACGCACTGACTTCTATATTTGAGGCGCCTCAATAATAGTCCCTGCTGTCATCTGTTACCTGTATTGCACGCACTGACTTCTATATTTGAGGCGCCTCAATAATAGTCCCTGCTGTCATCTGTTACCTGTATTGCACGCACTGACTTCTATATTTGAGGCGCCTCAATAATAGTCCCTGCTGTCATCTGTTACCTGTATTGCACGCACTGACTTCTATATTTGAGGCGCCTCAATGTAGGGTTGAGCATACTACCCGCCCGGGTCGGGTACCCGGTACCCGGGTCCGCTTTTAGGGCGGGTCGGGCATCGGAAATCCTGAATATTACCCGGCGGGTCGGGTCCGGGTTACCCGGGCGGGTATTCAATACCCGGTACCGGAAATGCTACCCGACGCGTCGGGTAGCGGGTACCCGACCCGAAATCGGGTAGCGATCTACCCGACGGAACCAGCGAGACATTAGTCGCGCTGGTAGAGAAATTTCGTCAAGTTTCTAGGTTACATGAGCTGCTAGGTCACTTAGAGCATTGTAGATTGGCAGGGGTTGGGTTTCGTAGATACAGATGCATTCAGAGTGGTTGAATTGGGGGGAATTGGTTGGAAGTCAAACCAATCGAATTTCCCCAATCCAATTTGCAACCCAACCTGAATCCAGCCAACCGCACAGCACCACATTGGTTGGAGTTCCAACCAATTGACTCTGGGGGTCAAAGAATCAAACCCCCAGAAACCGCACACAACCCCATCCCAACTAGAAAACCCAACCAACTCCCCACTCAGGCCCCACTCACGACCCACTCACCACACCAGAACTGTTAAAGATTTGGCACACCTCATACTCCCTCCCGCAGCTCACTTTTTTTAAGCACTATCTAGGTCGTAGGCTTAGTAGTCCAACAGGGTAAAAAAACGCGGGTAATACTACCCGCTTTTCAAGGAAACCGGGTCGGGTATACCCGGACCCGCCAGGCGGGTATTAAATTACCCGCCCCCAAATCCCGGGTCCGGGTATTGGTCCTGGGCATGTTACCCGACCCGTACCCGACCCGAAAATACCCGACCCGAAGTCGGGTATAGCAAAACCGGGTCGGGTCGGGTAAATACCCGGTTTTGCTCATGCCTACCTCAATGATAGTCCCTGCTGTCATCTGTTACCTGTATTGCACGCACTGACTTCTATATTTGAGGCGCCTCAATAATAGTCCCTGCTGTCATCTGTTACCTGTGTTGCACGCACTGACTTCTATCTTTGAGGCGCCTCAATAATAGTCCCTGCTGTCATCTGTTACCTGTGTTGCACGCACTGATTTCCTTGCGGTTGGTTTTTGCTGCTCTCTGCTGTGCTTTGCTGATTTCTGCTTCTTCCTGGTGAATTCATCTGCTGTGCTCTTCTTGGAGCTTCCTTCTGCGTCGTCCTGCCTCACTTTGCTCCTCCCTCTCTTTCGTGTCCGTCCATCCATCCTCACTTCTCTGTCCCCGCCTCATGCTCCCCTTCCTCGCCTCCCCCCCCAGACTCTTCCACCGCATATTCGTCAGCGTCAACACGGCATCAGGCGTGCTGGCAGTCACCTCTGCCGCGCCAGGGGCACTGCCAGCACCAGCACCAGGACTACCAGCAGCAGCACTGCCAATGGGAGGGGCAGCGGCGGCGGCGGCGGCGGCAGGTGGCGGGAGCGGTCAGGTGGCGGTGGTGGGGGATGTGGCCGAGCTGAAGGGAGTGGACCTCGTGTGGTCGCTGGCTCTGCGCTGCCCCTCGCCTGCCATCTGGCAGCCGTGCATCCAGCTGCTCAGAGACCTGCACTCGTCACTTGTTACACCGGAGAAGGTGTGTGGCGCAGTGCTGCTGTTTGGTATTGCGGTGCAGTGTCGCTTTGTTAGGCTCTGCGCTGCCCCTCGCCTGCCATCTGGCAGCCGTGCATCCAGCTCCTCGGGGATCTGCACTCGTCACTTGTTACACCGGAGAAGGTGTGTGGCGCAGCGCAGTGCTGCTGTTTGGTATTGCGGTGCAGTGTCGCTTTGTTAGGCTCTGCGCTGCCCCTCGTCTGCCATCTGGCAGCCGTGCATCCAGCTCCTCGGGGATCTGCACTCGTCACTTGTGACACCAGAGAAGGTGTGTGGCGCAGTGCTGCTGTTTGGTATTACGGAGTTACTTTTGTTCTTCTGTGACGATTGATCTGTGAGGGGCAGCACAGCACAGTTTTCTGTGATTTTCGAGTCAACCCAAAGATCCCCTCACCTGCCATCCAGCTATCACCCAACTTCCCCCTCCCGCCCCCTCAGTCCAGCCTGATGGCAGTGCGGCAGAGCTTCACACGCCAGTGCATGATACTCCCACTCCCCTGGTGGCAGTGCGGCAGAGCTTCACATGCAAGTGTATGATAACCCCCCTCCCCCTCTTCCCTTCCCCTGCCCCTCGTTTCGCCTCCTCCCTCCCAGCAGTCGAAGCTGGTGGCGGTGCGGCAGAGCCTCCCATGCGAGTGTATGATAACCCCCCTCCCCCTTCTCCCCCCCACCCCACGCACCCCTCCCCTCTCCCTTTCGCCTCCTCCCTCCCAGCAGTCCAAGCTGGTGGCGGTGCGGCGGAGCTTCATAGGCCAGTGCATGCGGCGCCTTGCTGCCGCGATGCAGCAGCTGGAGGGGCAGGGGGCGGGTAGTGGAGCAAGTGCGGGTGCAGGTGCGAGCGAGGGAGAGAGAGAGGGAGAGGGAGAGGGAGAGGGAGAGGGTGGAGCAAGAGGGGTGAAGGCGGCTGGTGGGGATGTGCTGCCGATGGAGACGAGTGCTGAGAATGATGGTGGGGAGGGGGGTGGTGATGCAAGTGGTGCTGATGTGAGGGGCGGTGGTGACGTGGCGATGATTGGTGAGGAGAGTGGGCAGGAGGGGAGGGAGGGAGAGGCGGCGGGGAGTGGGGAGATGGGTGGCAAGGATGGTGGCATGGAAGTGCAGGCGTCGGCAGAGGAACAAGCCCAGCGCTGCCTCTTGCTTCTAACAGTAAGTTCTTGTCGTTTTAATATATCAACATACCTTTCTCCTGCTGTCCAGTGTGCAACAGAAATTTGCATGCTGAACAGGCAAGTCCTCAACCCTTTTTACCTCTGCCCGTCCTCCCTTTCCCCCGCCTCCCATTGCCCGCCTGCCAGCAATTTGTGACGCGCTGTGAGGCCAGCTGTCCTCGCAGAGTGTCTCCCCACGGCGCCTCCTACCAGGGCAGGCCGTTTCAGGTGGAGGTGAGATATGAGGCAGGCCGTTTCAGGTGGAGGTGAACGGGAATGGGAGAGCTGTCTTTTCACCGGTGATGGTGAGAGGTGGCAACAGGAGATTGGTGCAATCATGCATAAACAATTAGGGTGGCCTTAATATTCACCTATTCTGATAAGAAAGGTGGCGGACTCCGTGTTAGCGTTGACAAGCATGCTGTGCGGCTATCCATGCATGACATCCATGCATGACATCCATGCATGACATCCATGCATGACATCCATGCATGACATCCATGCATGACATCCATGCATGACATCCATGCATGCCATCCATGCATAACATCCATGCATGCCATCCATGCATGACATCCATGCATGACATCCATGCATGACATCCATGCATGACATCCATGCATGACATCCATGCATGACATCCATGCATGACATCCATGCATGACATCCATGCATGACATCCATGCATGACATCCATGCATGCCATCCATGCATGACATCCATGCATGACATCCATGCATGACATCCATGCATGACATCCATGCATGACATCCATGCATGACATCCATGCATGACATCCATGCATGACATCCATGCATGACATCCATGCATGACATCCATGCATGACATCCATGCATGACATCCATGCATGACATCCATGCATGACATCCATGCATGACATCCATGCATGACATCCATGCATGACATCCATGCATGACATCCATGCCATGCATGACATCCATGCATGACATCCATGCATGACATCCATGCATGACATCCATGCATGACATCCATGCATGACATCCATGCATGCCATCCATGCATGACATCCATGCATGACATCCATGCATGACATCCATGCATGACATCCATGCATGACATCCATGCATGCCATTCATGCATGACATCCATGCATGACATCCATGCATGACATCCATGCATGACATCCATGCATGACATCCATGCATGACATCCATGCATGACATCCATGCATGACATCCATGCATGACATCCATGCATGACATCCATGCATGACATCCGTGCATGACATCCATGCGCCATGCTCTGATTCGTTGTTGTTTCTCTACCCCTGGGGCGAGCAGGTGACTGTGGCGCACAGCAAGCATGTGAACCTCTTCATTCACACGCATGCCAACGAGTATCTGCGCCTGCTACGACTCAAGGCATGCTTCCTCCGCTCTCCTCCTTGTCACTCTATGTTATCTCCATTCTCATCCCCTCCTGCACTGCACCGTGCACGCATCCTCATTCGCCTTGCCTTCCCCTGCGCTGGTTCACACATTCACTGCCCTGTGCACACATTCACTGTGCTGGTTCCTTATTCTCACCCACGTTCTTATTTCTGGTTCATCGGACGTCGACCTTCCCTTTTCCTTGACTTTGTCCCGAGCTGCATTGAGTTTCCTTTGTCTTTGCTTCACTTGACTTGCCTGATTTTTTGTCTTAAATCGCCCTGACCTGCCAGGTGGCGTGCAAGCTGGAGTGTGATGTGGCACGTGTGCGGCTGCTATTGGACGGCCACGAGCTGCTCTCTGATTGGCTCGTGCTCCGGCAATGCGGGATAGCGGATGGGAGGCGGCTCATTGCCTCTGTCATGGTGTGTGATAGTAACGGATGCCCTCTTAGAATGTGAAACTACACTTTAGTATCTTTTATGTTAAACTCGCGCAAGCTTTTCGTCTTTTGCTTCATTACCCCTCCTCTGACCCCAGGGCATTCATCTCATCTTTTCAACACGGTTCTCCCTTGCTCCCTCCCCTCTCCCCTCTCTTCCCCGCCATGCCTGCTTTTCTCTCCAGTTGAATGCCCGGCCTCGCAGCAGGCAGCAAGGGGAGGGGGGAGAGGCGGAGCTACCGGGTGTGCTCATGGCGCGGCAGGGGGAGGTGAGTGGGGGGGGGAAAGGGGAAGGGGGCAAGGTGAGAGTGACCTTTGATTCGACTCAAAAAGGGGCGAATGGGGAAGGGGGCAAGGTGAGTGGCACAAGCTGAGAGGGTGTACGGCACGCTCTTCCGATTGCTCCAAATCGGCATCCTCTGGGCGCAGCAAGTTCCTCCCTCCTGCTGCTCACATATTCCCCGAATCCCCGGGCATATCCAAACCACCCCCTTGCCTCCTCCCTACCTGCCAGGTGTACGGCACGCTCTTCAGATTGCTCCAGATCGGCAACCATCAAGTGCAGCAGGTTCATCCTCCTCCCTTTTCTTTCTAAGGCTGTTAAGTTCTTTTCCGCTCCTCACTGTTACCTGCTTGCGTTGTTATCAACACCCCCTCCACCCCCTTCACCCCCTTCACCCCCTTCACCCCCTTCAACCCCTTCACCCCCTTCACCCCCTTCACCCCCTTCACCCCCTTCACCCCCTTCACGACCTCACTCACTGGATTGCATGCCATTCTCGTTTAGGTCGTTTAGAATCAGTTGCCATTCCTTTTCTTCCGTTTCCCCTCGCGTTACAGGCAGTGGACGAGCTTCTCATGCTGCTGCCGACAAACCGAGCCATTCTCGACGATTTCATGGTCAGTCGCACAGCTGTTGGATGCCTGTCAGTCGCACTCGCACAGCTGTCGGATGCCTGTCAGTCGCACAACTACTCAAGTTCCGGCCAGTTGCCCTTTCTGTGGACCCAAGAACAGCCGCAGAGCTACTGGATGGATGGATCCCTGTCAGTTCTGAACGCAGTTGTGAAGTCTGACTCTGGCCAGATGCTACAGCACCTGCTGCACCACATATACCACACGTCATGCCGTCGCATGCACGGTGCACCAGCATTCGCTCACGCCCTCTCTCACTCACTCCCCTGTCTGCACGTTTTTCTCCCGCAGAGCATCCAGTCAGTGCCATCAGCAGCTGAGGCTGCTGCCATCCTCAGGCGCCTCCTGCGCCCCTCTCCACGCCTCGTGTACACGCTGCAGGTGATCTGATCAACCCTAAACCCTGACGAGGTGACTTTTGAGTTGACTCAAATGCCGCCTCGTGTACACTATCCATCCAGGTGATCTGATCAACCGTGAACCCTCTCATAAAACTCGAAACCCTACCCTAGTGATTGCCTTGTTTGCCCGCTGCAGCTGATTTACTTGAGTCATGCCCCCATGCTTCCACGGTCCACCCATCTACCTCCTCTGCCCCTTGCGTCCACCCATCTCCCCCTGCGTCCACCCATCTCCCCGTGCGTCCACCCATCTCCCCCTGCGTCCACCCATCTCCTAATGCGTCCACCCATCTTCCCGTGCGTCCACCCATCTCCCAATGCGTCCACCCATCTCCCAATGCTTCCACCCATCTCCCCGTGCCTCCACCCATCTCCCAATGCGTCCACCCATCTCCCAATGCGTCCACCCATCTCCCAATGCGTCCACCCATCTCCCCGTGCGTCCACCCATCTCCCAATGCGTCCACCCATCTCCCAATGCGTCCACCCATCTCCCCGTGCGTTTACCCATCTCCCAATGCGTCCACCCATCTTCCCATGCGTCCACCCATCAGGTGCTGGACGGGCTATTGTTGCCTGTCAACCGCCCTCCCTCTCCCGCCACCACCCGCTTTCGAGGGAGCTTTCTGCAGTCCAGCGGATTCAGGTGAGTCTAACAGATCCAGGCGTAATTGCTTACTTACATTTGGATCACGGCCTGCTTCCTTACCGTTCACGCCTGTGACTGTATCTTTCAAGCCCAGCCAGTTTGACTATTTTGCAAGTTCACATGTTTTTACATATTTATCTATCCATGCTCTCTGCCATCCCCTCCAATACTCTTTCATGGAATATTTTGTTTCCTTCTAGGTCCAGACGATTTTTGAGGCGCCTAAAAAATTGTTTCCTTCTTGGTCCCGCCTCTCAGCGCCAAGCCCTGCCACCTTCAGCTCCCTAGCCTTTCAACAAAGGACCTCCTCTCTCTTTTCTTCCACCCACTCCCCCCCCACTCCCAACCACTCCCCCCACCCTCATTCTTCCACAGTGCCCTCATGTCAGTCTTTCAGCGCCAAGCCCTGCCACCCACAGCCGACGACAGCACAAGGCGCAAATGCTACTTGAGTGCGCTGCACATTCTGAAGCTCATGGTCAGAGCCATGCCTCTACTTGCCGCTACTTGCTTGTCATTGCCGCTACTGGCCGCTACTTGCCGCTACTTGCCGCGACTTGCCGCGACTTGCTGCTACTTGCCGCTACTTGCCGCTACTTGCCGTTACTTGCCGCTACTTGTCGCTACTTGCCGCTACTTGCCGCTAGTTGCTGCTACTTGCCGCTACTTGCCGCTACTTGCCGCTACTTGCCGCTACTTGCCGCCACTTGCCGCCACTTGCCGCCACTTGCCGCCACTTGCCGCTACTTGCCGCTACTTGCTGCTACTTGCTGCTACTTGCCGCTACTTGCCGCCACTTGCCGCTACTTGCCGCTACTTGCTGCTACTTGCCGCTACTTGCCGCTACTTGCCGCTCCTTGCCGCTACTTGCCGCTACTTGCCGCTCCTTGCCGCTACTTGCCGCCACTTGCCGCCACTTGCCGCCACTTGCCGCCACTTGCCGCTACTTGCCGCTACTTGCCGCTACTTGCCGCTACGTGCCGCTACTTGCCGCTACTTGCCTCTTCTTGCCGCTACTTGCCGCTACTTGCTGCTACTTGCCCCTACTTGCCGCTACTTGCTGCTACTTGCCACTACTTGCCGCTACTTGCCTCTTCTTGCCACTACTTGCCGCTAGACTTGAGCATTTTACCCGGTCGGGTCGCAGGTACCCGACCCGACCCGACATTTTGGCCGGGTCGGGTAATAGGATTTTGACGAATTACCCGGCCGGGTCGGGTCGGGTACTCGGGCCGGGTAATGCATACCCGTTACCCGAGAATTACCCGAAATGTCGGGTAATTTATTACCCGTCGGGTCGCGGGTACCCGACCCGACTTTGGGTTTGTTACTCTGGGTTTGCTGAATTCTACAGCCACCTGGGGGTACCCGGTAATATTACCCGACTTCAATTAAATGCGGGTCGGGTACACCCGACCCGACAGACGGGTACCCAATTACCCGGTATTAAAATGTCGGGTCGGGTAACAGACCTCCAAACATTACCCGGAAATTACCCGACCCGACCCGACCCGGACCTGATTGCGGGTAGGGCAAAACCGGGTCGGGTCGGGTAATTACCCGGTTTTGCTCATGTCTACTTGCCGCTACTTGCCTCTACTTGCCACTACTTGCCGCTACTTGCTGCTACTTGCCACTACTTGCTGCTACTTGCCTCTTCTTGCCACTACTTGCCGCTACTTGCCTCTACTTGCCTCTACTTGCCACTACTTGCCTCTACTTGCCTCTACTTGCCACTACTTGCCCTGTTCCTTACTCTATTCGTTGCCCTATCCGCAACTACATAATCCCCTCCATTCTTCTTAGGTTCTCTTCTTGCCCTCTTGTATGTCATTCTCTCAACCCTGTGAAGCTCCCCTGTGAAGCTCCCCAATGTCCCCCCTGCATCTTTCCCTGTCAGCTGTGTTGTAAAATTTAGTCAACTCGAAATATATTTCATGTGCCTCCTATATCCCTCCCTGTCAGCTATTCGGTGATCGCTTTGGCGCCCCCAACCCGGCACCGGACCTCTGGGAGGATTGGGAGGCCAGCGACGAGGAACAGCTACCAGACGCTGCAGACACTGTAGAGAAGACTATAGAGAGCATTGTGGGAAGCACTGTAGCGCGTACTGTAGCAAGCACTGCTATTCATCCAGCGCGACTGGCTATGGCCGCTCGCCCTCCTCCCATTGTCACGGCGCCAGGCAATTCTTCTGAACCGACGTGCCTCATCCGGTAAGCTCTTTTGAACCTGCCTCTGGACTTTGCTACCCTTCCTGCTTTTGTGCGCCTCGCTTTGACTCCTGTTCTGATTATAGGAGGGGCAATACTGTGAATGTGAAACACGCGTCAAAATTCCTCAACCCCATACACCATGCCACGGCACCAGGCGTTTCTTCTCAAACCCATATATCCCCATGCATGCCTGTGACTGCCTGCAGCGCGGATGGCACAGTGGTGGAAGCAGCAGCAAAGAGGGTGTGTGAGGGGATGGACGAGGGGAGGATGAGGACGTGGAAGTGCAGGACATTATTCTAGATAGCGGGGGCATGACTGTAGATAATGGGGGCAATAATACTAATAAGGGGGCAGCTGACAGCGAGGATGCCTCCGTCCCTCAACCCCTGGCAGCAGAGGTGGCTGGTGGAGTGGAGGGGGGTGCAAGAGGGGTAGAGAGCGGTGGAGATGGGTCAGCAGCGCAAGCATTACCGCCACAGCCAGCAGCACAAACGACTGCAGAATGTTCAGCAGCACCAATGGCGGTGGCTGTGCTGGCGCCTGTGCCTGAGAGGGATGTGCCTCCTTTCGTAGCAGTGAGTTCCATGACTCTCTGCTGCTCAGCAGTAGGTCTCATGGCGCAATGAACGCACTGCTCAGTGAGTTCCAATGCGCTCTGCTGCCTCCGCGTGTCTCGTCTCGGTTCTCTTCTGTCTGCTCCCGCATTTAATGCTCCAGATTGGCCGTCCTGCCATGCACCCACTTACACACTCGCCCACTAACTTACACGAGAAGCAACCCCGCTTCAATCCTCCCATTCCCGCTCACCCGCTTTTTGCCTCTCAGTCCCCTCCTGCCCTCAAAATACAGTCCCCGCCCGCCCGTGTCTTTTGAGTCGAAATACAGCACACCCAGCACTCAAAATAGATGATTTTTGAGTCGACTCAAAAATAACCATCAAAATACAGCACACCCAGCCCAGCACTCAAAATACAGTCCCCTCCCGCCCTCCCGTGTCTCCTCAGCACACCCACCCCCCCTTGCCTGTGGCCTCTCATTTTCCCCATGCTCATGGCCTCTGCCTGCCTGCTTGCTTGCCTGCTTGCTTGCCTGCTTGCTTGCCTGCTTGCTTGCCTGCTTGCTTGCCTGCTTGCTTGCCTGCTTGCTTGCCTGCTTGGCCTTCAGATCATGGATGCACCATCAGCTCTGCTGCCTGCTGATTGGTCAGAGCTCACCAATATCATCATCATGCTGGCTTGGGCGGCATCCATTGGCTCTTTGCAGGCCATGGCTTTGCCGAATCCACATGCCGTTGATGCCGCTGCAGCTGTTGCTGTGAGTGATTACCCATGTGTGCATGTGTATGTGTGCATTTGTGTTTTTTATGTGTGTATGCATGTATGCATGGGCGTATGTGTTTATGTATGCACTGTGTCTATGTTTGCAAATGTTGCATGTGTGCATGTATATGTGTAGGGGTGACAATGTCTGCATTTGCACGCCAATTAGTCTGCTCCCTATGCTTTTCCGTTCCTTTGTGCTCATTTTCATGCCCCTCTGCATCTTCAATAATGCATATACTCCGTTTCTAAAAGACATGTTAGTGTGCATGGGTTCTCCAGATGCCCTAAACGAAAGGGAGAAGGTCAGTGGCGTAATGTCACCCATCTTAAAAAAAAAAAAAAAAAAAAAAAAAAAACTAAGAACAAGAATATAAGGTCATATCTTCCCCTCTCCCTTCCCCCCCCACCGTCCCCAGCACCACACTCTGCAAGCAGCTCAAAAGCGGCGGGTGGAGCAGGAGGGCTCGGGGAAGAGGGGAGGGGAGGAGAGCGATGAGTCGGAGGACGAGGAGGAGGACGACGAAGACGGCGCGGATTCCCTGCTGCACCCCGACGATGCCTGCCTGGCGATGGAGGGAGCCTTGGTGCTGGTGAGTGTGGCTTGGATGGGGGAAGAAAGAGAGCAATGGAGGGAGGGCGACGGGGAGGATGAAGAAGAAGGGGCGGATTTCTTGCTGCATCCCGAACCGATGAGATGATGCCTGCCTGGCGATAGACGGAGTGCTGGTGCTGGTGAGTGTGGCTTAGAGGGGGGACAGGAGAGTGGTTAGGCATGGTGATGGTGATGGGTGCATGCATTATGAACAAATGCATGTGAATGCTCTCAATCTTTATAAAACCCTAATCCCTGGTTCATAAGTGTTTTTTTTTTTTTTTTAAGAGCATCATCCCTCTGTTTTTGGTTTTCCCCCTCTCTCCTCCCCCCTCCTCACTTCCTCCTTTTCTCTTCCCTCCCAATCCAAATGCCTGGGCCGTCGAAAAGTTCCACTGCTCCTTCCCATTTCTCTTTCCCCCCTTTTCCTGTTTCCCTTCTCCCTTCGTCTGTTTCTCTTCCCTCCCAGTCAGAGTGCCTGAGATGTTGAGGAGGGATGACAACCATTCTCTTCTCTTCTCCTCCCCATTTCTCTTTCCCCTATTTTCTGGTTCCCCTTCCCCCTTCCTTCCTCCGTTTCTCTTCCCTGCCAGTCGGAGTGCCTGGGCCGACGAAGAGAGATCGCAACCGTCCTCTTCTCCTCCGCATTCGTCTCCAAATTCATCGTTGTAAGTTATTTTTGCACCTTGGATTGGCATGCTCTAGGTGATTTTTTAGTCGACTCAAAAATCACGATTGGCATGCTCCATTCCATTGAATCACTGAGGTAGACATGGGCAGCATGCCGAGCCTGGCTCGACTCGGCTCGACTCGACTCGCCTTTTTGGCGAGTCGAGCCGGGATTTTTTTTTGGCCGGCTCGACCCGAGTCGAGCCGAGTCGAGCCGGTCGAGCCGCGCGGCTCGGCTCGGCTCGTCGCAAATTTCATGGCGAGCCAAAGTCGAGCCGGCTCGACTTTGGCTCGAATTTGGCTCGACTCCTGAAGCGCACGGCTTGCCAGCGGGGGGTCAAAATTCGACCGCAATGGAAGACGAAAATCCTTTTGGCGAGTCGAGCCGAGCCGAGCCAAGGTCGAGCCGACCCTTGGCTCGACCCTGAACCCCCGAGTCGAGCCAACCATTTTGGGGCAGCCGGCTCGGGTCGAGTCGAGTCGGCTCGGCTCGACTTTTACCTGGCTCGAGGTCGAGTCGAGCCGAGTCGAGCCAGGCTCGGCATGCTGCCCATGTCTACACTGAGGCGTGTTTGGCATCCTGTATTGGATAGTCTGATCTGAAGGTTTAGGCACACACCTAATCATCATATAGCTGTCCTTCGGGCTTCCGTCTTTTCATGCATCTTTTTCCTTGTCCGTTTACTCCCTGCTCGCTTTTCCACATACCTCTAGTTCGCCTTGCTCATTCGTCTCCATCCTCACATCCCCCTTCCCTCCCTGGCACCCTCTCCAGGACACCGGCTTGCATTGCCCAGATGACTTTTGAGTCGACTCAAAAGTGTTCTCTCCCATTCCTGTCGACCCTCCATCCCCCTTCCCTCCCTGACACCCCTTCCAGGACACCTGCTTGCACTGCCCAGAAACAGAGATTCGATACAAATTTGCAGAGCTCTTTCTTCACATAAGGTGCTTTATTTACTTCCATCAAGTTTTGCATCTCTTTTGTTTAACCCTCTCTACACTCTTGCTTCTTTTACCCCCGATGTCTTAAGCTTTCAACCACAAAATGCTCATGTCTCCATTTAATTATCCCTACGACCATACCATCATATCGATACGCATGGCATCCTAGCATGCCATGCCCCACTTCCTGTCACACACTCAGCCCTTTCTCCCCCTCTCGTCTGCTGCTCCTGCTCTCCACATCTCCCACCCATCAGCATGGAGAAGTGGCCACCCCTCCCCTCCTCCGCACACCCAGCACCACCCCCAGCCACACCAGCATCAGCACCACTCCCCGCAGCACCAGCACCAGCAGAGAGAGAACCTGGGGGCAACCTCCCTCTGTCCACCCCTCCCACGCGGCCCTTCTCTTCTATCCACTCCTGCATCTTCCACTCCCTCTCCTCCGCCCGCACTGCTGCTGACAAGCAACCACGGCACAATAGACCGGTGAGGGCTTGAGAGAGTGGTGCAGAGGGGTGCGAAGGGAATAGAGGGAGGAGTGCAATGATCAAAAGAACCTGGGGGTGTCTCCCCTCTGTCCAAACCTCCCTTCAAATCCAACCATTCCTGCAAATTCCACTCCCTCTCCTCCACCTGCGCTGCTGCCGACAAGCAGCACGGCTCAACAGACCAGTGAGTGCACTACAGTGCTGTGCAGAGGCATGAGAAGAGACAGGGTGGTGAATGCTTTTGAATCTGCAATTTTGTCGCCTTTGCCGTCACAGGGGGCTGATTTTCTTCTAAGGTGGAGCATGGAGTGTATCCTCCCTCCTCCCCCTCTCTCCAGTACTTGGAGCCGCTCGCTAGGTGGTGCAGGGGAGGGGGGAGGGTATGCTTTGCTTCTCACTTTTCTCCTCCCCGTCTTCCTCTCGTCTCCTTCAACGTGTCTCTCCCTTCCCCCCCTTCTCTGCAGTACTGGGAGCTTCTCTGCAAGGTGGTGCAAGGGGTGTATCTGCGAGACGAGGAGGAAGCTGTCAGGAAGCTTCTGGACGAGGAGATCCAGTGGCTGCAGAACGTGACGTGGGGGATGGATGGCAGAGAAGAGGTGAGGAGAGAGGACGTGAGGAGAGAGGAGGTGAGGAGAGAGGAGGTGAATAGAGAGGGTAGACATGGGCAAAAAAAATCGCATCGCATCGCATTTAATCGCGTTTTTGCGATGGCGATTTTTTTTATTTTTTTTTAATCATCGCACGATGCGATGAATTAATATCGCGCGATTTAATTTAAATCGCATTTTAATCGTGCTTTGCTTTAGAGTAACTCGACTATCGCTCAGCATGTTCTTTCAATGATTTGCTTTAGATCGGAATGTCATCAATGAAGATTATGACAAACCAGTCCAAGAAATCACGAAAGACGTTGTTCATCAAGTACATGAAAGTGGCACGGGCATTTGTTTGTCCAAAAGGAAGAACTAGGAATTCGAAATGCCCATACCGAGTTCTGAATGCAGTTTTCTCGATGTCTTTGTCAGTGACATGAACTTGATGATATCCGTTTCAGAGATCCAGCTTGCTGAAAATTGTGGCTTTGTCGAGTTGATCAAAGAGTTCTTCCACATGTGGCTGAGGGTAGCAGTTCTTGATGGTAATCTTGTTGAGTGCCTGATAGTCGATGCACATTCGCATGCTGTCATCCTTCTTCTTCACGAAGAGAATTGGTGCTGCATAGGGAGAGGTACTGACTCGGATGAAGCCTTTCTCAAGAAGCTCTTCCAGCTGCTTCTGGACTTCTTGCAGCTTGGCAGCACTCATCCGATAGGTAGCACGAACGGTAGGTTCTGAGATCTACCTCAGGTCTGAGAAAAATATGTCTTTGAAGTCATCCAAGACCTGTTGAATTTCAGAAGGGATCTCAACAGCCTTGGAAGGGGAAGAGGGAGAAGGACTTTCACAGATCTTCTTCAAAAGACAAAGAAAGAATTGAGCACTTGGGTCTTTAAAATATTTTTTTAACTGTCTTGCTGAAAGAAGGTTACAACAAGTGGGTATGGAAGGAGAGGAAGAAAGGGTAGATAAGGTGAGTAAGTGGGTGCGGTGTGATATGGTGGAGAGTGGTGGATTGCGGTGGAGCACGGTAGCGTGCATGGCTGGCGAGGGTGCCAATGCAGAAGAGAACCCAGGGACGGCGACAAGCTGGGGCCGGTAGCGAGCAGGGGCCGATGGCGAGTAAGGAACGGCGGCGAGCAAGGGGCCGGCGCAGCTAGCAGGGGCCGACGCGGCTAGCAGGGGCTGGCACGGCTAGCAGGGGCCGGCACGAGTTGGGGCTGGTGACGAGCTGGGACCGGCGCAGCTAGCAGGGGCCGTCGACGGCGAGCAGGAGCCAGCGTGGCGAGTAGGGGCCGATGCGGCAAGATGTGGCCAGCGCAGAGAGCAGGGGCCGACGCGGCGAGCAGGGGCCGGCGACAAAGCAGGGGCCGACGACGAGCAGGGGCCGGTGACGAGCAAGGGGCGGCGACGAGCAGGGGCCGGCGCGATAACCAGAGGCTGACGTGGCGAGCTGGGGCTAATGCGGCGAGCTGAGTCCGACGTGGCGAGCTGGTGCCGACACGACAAGCGGGAACCGGTGGCGAGCTGGGGCTGACGTGGCGAGCAGAGGGCCAGCGCGGCGAGCTAGGGCCAGCCCGGCAAGCTAAGGCCAACGTGGCGAGCTAGGGCCAGCGTAGCGAGCTAGGGCCAGCGTGGCAAGCGAGGGCCAGCGCGGCGAGCTAGGGCCAGCACGGCGAGCAGAGGCCGATGGGGCGAGCTGAGGGCCAGCGCGGTGAGCTAGGGCCAGCGCGGCGCAGCGAGCTAGGGAAGGGGCGCACTAAGGGGCGGGCCGCTCTAACGGGCGGGGCGCTCTAAGGGTGGCTTGCTCTAAGGTAGGCTAGGGCGGAAGCACTGGTGGGTGGGACCTACCTAGCGTGATACCATGTTAAGATAGCGAAGTAAGTAATAGCAATGCATACTTACGGATATATGGTTTGGGTGTTGTACTCTATAAGAGCACTAACCTACCTAGCCTATAATTATACACACATCATACATGTATAAGTTGACATTCATAACCAACGTTTTATAGGGCTTCACCTGCTCGGCCTGCACACTGCCATCCACCATCGACCACATCTGTCAAGCCTAAGAACCCTCGTAAGGCACTAGGCAGACCTTATCGCATGGAATGGTGTCAAGCTCGCCACTCTCCACTCCAGCAACACCTGGGTACAAGTGGACTGTCAAGCAATTAAGAGGAAAAAAACTCTCTTCAAGAAGTGGGTCTACTGTGTGAGGACCGATGAAAATGGCTTTATTGAGTGGTACAAGGCACGGGGGTCATGCGTCGCTATGACCAGAACCATGGGTTCAATTTCGATCTCACATTCGCACCCATCAGCCGCCATCCCTCCGTCCGTATCGTACTCGCTATTGCTGCCAATATGCACATGGAGCTGCGACAAATTGATGTGAAGGAGTTCCTCTATGCCAAGGTGAATGCGCTCATCTTCGTCGAGCAGCCGCACACCTACGGCGATAGGGATTCGCAGGTGTGCCAAGTGCAGACATCTCTCTACGAGATAAAGCAGGCACCGCGACCCTTGCTGTAGCCCATAGACGGCACCCTCCTCGACATCGGCTTCAACTAATAGCCGCATAACCACAGAATGTATCGCCTCCCCCTTCCAGAGTTAGAGATTGTAATAGTTCCAAGGGTCCAATTAATATTGGGATTAGCAATAGACAGCCAATCATGCCCAAGAATGATTTCATGGTCTCCAAGGGATGCTTGCTGAAATTGAATTTTGGCTTTGTAAGGTCCAATGGTACTAAGAACAGAGAAGGTATTGGTCCACATGGAATTGAAGTTCCATTTGCCATCAACACTGTCTCAGGCAGCGATTTAGGTTGGGTTGGAAGGGAAAGCTTGGAAAGTAGAGAGGAAGAGATAAAATTTGAAGAAGCGTCACTGTCAATTAAGGCTTTCACTCTTTGACCTCGGATACTCATGGGGAGAAGCAAAGGTTTAGAAGGGCTATGACTCTCAAGAGAAGAGATGGAGGGGCTGATTTTGTTACCCGGAAGCTGCCCCAAACTCACTGGCGACTTCCGTTTCCCGGCGTTGGAAGAAGAGGCGATTGATTGGTGCGCCCGCGGCAGTACTTCCACATGTGTCCTTTCTTGCCGCACTTGAAACACGCGAAGGGTGCCCTCATGTTCCGTTTTCTTTTTTCCATCAGGTCCAGGTCCATAGGAGCGGGTTCTTGCTAGTTGTTGTCTGCTGAAGTGAAGGACTGGTAGGAGGGAGCAAACGGGAGAAGCGGGCTGCGAGGAAAACGAGGCTTACTGCAGGCAAAGGGAACAGCATCATACCGTTCAGCCAAGTGTATCATTTCCTCGAGCGTAGTGCAGTCTCTCAGCTCCACCTCCATGCCCACGTTTGGCTTCAATCCACGCTTGAGGCGATCCATTTGTTCGACAAGGGAGAGGTCCGGAATCTTTTTAGTGATGTCACGGAAGCGAGAGGCATACTCTTGGACAGATTTCAGTTGCTTGAGGGCAGCCAAGGAGTCTCGTGCCTTGATGTTTGGGTTCACGGGTTGAAATGGTGACGTGAAGACTTGCTTGAAGTGTTCCCAAGAGGTGATAGATGCATGCGCAGATTGCCACCATGCAATTGCAGAACCATGGGGAAGAGTTCCGGTGAAGGCAGTCCATTCGGCAGGTGCTATGTGGCTCAGCAGCTAGTACTTCTCTACGAGAAAGAGCCATCGGCTCACGACTGGCTGATTTCTCCCGGGAAGGAAAAAAACAAGAAGAGTGGGTCTAGCACGCTGATTTCCATCTGATAGTGCAGCAGGGTTCACGCATGCCACCACTCCAACTTCAGCTATACTGGCTTGCAGTTCTGCCTGCAAGCTTTCTCTAAACTCAGAAATGATTTGGGCTCGGTAGGTTTGCAAAAAACCAGCCCAATCGTCAGGAGAAGGGGGCCCATTAGTCGTCATGACGAGTTCTAAAAAAAGAGGCTCGAAAAAAGCTCTGATAGCCAAATGAAACAGCCACTAGGCTGTTTGGAGTAGATAGTAGAATTAGGAGGTATTCTTGGAAGACTCCAAGGTAGAAGTACCAAAGTAGCTTTACTAGGGATCACATGATGGCTTCCAGTCAAGAAGCACACCACTATATACAAGGAGAATGACTAAGGCACGAGACTCCTTGGCTGTTCTTTACGCGACCCGCATTTAATTGAAGTCGGGTAATATTACCCGGGTACCCCTAGGTGGCTTCAAAATTCAACAAACCCGGAGTAACAAACCCGAAGTCGGGTTGGGTACCCGTGACCCGACGGGTAATAAATTATCCGACATTTCGGGTAATTCTCGGGTAACGGGTATGCATTACCCGGCCCGAGTACCCAACCCGACCCGGCTGGGTAATTCGTCAAAATCCTATTACCCAACCCGGCCAAAATGTCAGGTCGGGTCGGGTACCCGCGACCCGACCGGGTAAAATGCTCAAGTCTATAGAGGGTTGAGGAGAGGGGGTGAGGAGAGAGGTGGTGAGGAGAGAGGAGGTGAGCAGAGCGGAGAAAATTCTGCTCCCTTATTTTCTGCGCCCGATACATCGCACAACTACATGCCGTCACTGTCCTTTCTTCATGTCTCATGCCACCTCTGCATGTTCATGTTGCTTGAGGACCATCTGCTGCTGCGAGTGCCGGTATCCCTTTAAGAAACCATGATCTTAATGAACTTAAAGCGAGAGGTCAAACTAGTGAAGGCGGGTCCAACTTGAAAGGGCCCTGACGTCCGTTTTTGCGACTAAGGGACAAAACTGCGACGGGGCAGAGGGTACACTGTCGAGAAATGCGAGTCGGGGAAATTGGGCGAGAAGAGGCAGTTTCCTGATGGGTTGGCGGGAAACACATGGCGTACGGTGGGAAACGTGGCTCGGGAAAAATCGCAAGCAGCGCGCCACCTGTCTCCCAGGCCCCACTGCCTGTAAGCTGCACCAAGTGGGCCCAACTTGTATTTCAAGTTGGACCCAGCTTAACTACTCCGGCAAAAACGAGGCTGGGTCCCGATTGGTCGAATTGCTAACCGCGCAAACCTGTGGTCGTAAAATCTATCGCCAGTGCGAAATGTCGCAAGCGCAATTCGATTTCGTGGCCTACGGCTTGGTAAAAAATGCGGGCTGCTGCCCACCCCTCCAAAAACATATTCACTGTTGGGTCGTTACTAGTTGGGCCCAACTAGAAAGAGGGGTCACTATAACCTCTCGCTTTAATGAGACCTAATGAACTTAATGAGACCTAATGAACTTTCTCCCTTTCTGTATCGCCAGTTGTTAGTGGGGCGCTTGCTGCTGCTGCGAATGCTGGTGGAGGTGTTTGACGTCCCCCTTTAACGAGACCGAATGAACTTTCTCCCCTTTTCTGCCGCCAGTTGTTGGAGGGGCACTTGCTGCTGCTCCGGATGCTGGTGGAGGTGCTTGACTGCCGCCCGCTCGTTGCCTGCTCTCCGCCGCACGGCCACGGGCTGCTACACCTGGTACTGATTGTTACATGTTGGAGTTACTGCTGGGGTTAGATGCTGAGATGGGATTACTGTCACCGCTTGCTTGTTGCCTTCTCTCCACCACACGGCCACAGCCCACGGGTGTGGTAACAGTTGTGGCCCGATAAAAGTCGGGGCGGCTGCGGAGCGTAACTTTAGCTGGTTTGTTGGCCCTTTGGCTTGTTGGCTCTTTGGCTTGTTGGCTCGTTGCCTTGCTGGCTTATTGTCTTGTTGGCTTGTTGGCTTGTTGGCTTGTTGGCTTGTTGGCTTGTTGGCTTGTTGGCTTGTTGGCGTGTTGGCTTGTTGGCGTGTTGGCTCGTTGGCTTGTTGGCTGGTTGACTTGTTGGCTTGTTGGCTGGTTGACTTGTTGGCTTGTCAGCTTGTTGGGTTGTCAGTTTGTTGGGTTGTCAGTTTAGGGTAAAGGCTGGTAGGGTTGGTGGGGTTGGAGTGTAGAATTATCAACGCTGAAAGGCGTCATTTCTGCTTGCCACTGCTAGGCATGTCTGATGAATCATTTCCCTCCTTATCCCTCCTCCTCCCACTCTGCTCTTCCCTCTCCTCAGCTCATCACACGCTGCCTCTTCCCCGAGTGGCCTGTGGTCGTCCCAAGCCAAGCAGCAGTGCAGCAGCAGCAGCAGCAGCAGCAGCCGCCGCCGCAACAACACCAACACCAACAACAGCAACACCAACAACAACAACCACCCGCCCAGTTCTCTGCTCCCACAACCTTCGGCGTTCTCTCCTCTGACCCCCATGACGCTGCTGTCTTCCGCCCCCTCTGCTCCTCCTCCCCCTCTCGCAACTCGGCCTTCGCCCTCCTCCTCACCCTCTGCGCCAAGGTGCGTTTACTCTTCCCACTTGTTTTTGAGTCACTTGAATCAAAAGCCCCCCCTCACGCTCTGCTCCTCTTCCCCCTCTCCCAACTCTGCCTTAGCTCTCCTCCCCGCCCACTGTGCCAAGGTGAGGTTACTGTTCCGAGTTGCGGTTTGACTTACTGTTCCGGCTTAACTCAAAAGCCTCCCCTCACCCTCTGCTCCTCCTCGCCCTACCGCAATCCTCCCCTCGCCCTCCTGCTACCCCCTGCCCTCTGCACCAAGGTGCGGTTACTACAGCTGCTCACGCCTTTTCACTGCATTCCCTCCTCTTCCCTGGATATCTTTGCCCCCTCGGTGTGCTGCACTCCGCGTGTATACTCCTGCTTCCTCTCATCCTTCTTTTGCTGCTGTCCTTCTCCTGGCATCTCAAGCAAGCGCCATTCCCATCCCCACCGGCGTCCCTCTTGTTTGGGGTCCAAGCGCCCCTTCTGCCACTGCTGCATTTCACCTCTCTTGGGCATCACAGCACCCCACACAGCGCTCCCTCGCTGCCGCAGTGGAGCTCAAAGGTTGCTCAAACACTCCCTCCTCTCCCTGCTTCCCGCCCTTCAGACCCCTGAAGCCTTAAGAGAACTCGCCTCACTGTTGCTCCCGCTGCACTTTGGCTCGGTGGAGCACGAGCTGCCGTCTTGGGAGTACCTTCCCAGCTGCGCCCCTAGGCCACGGGTGGGCTACTCGGGGCTCAAGAACGCAGGTATGACTTGAGGTGCCTTATTAGAGTGCATACCTCTCCGCTCGGAGCACTCCTCATGCTGCACGTTGCCTCCGTGGAGCACAAGCTGCTGTCGTGGAAGTGCATGTACCTCCCCAGCTGCGATCCCAGCTATCCACAGATGGGATCCGCTCTTTCCATTTCCATTTCAACTCCTCTTGGCGTAGCTGTTTATCCCCTATCTTCTGCGGATGTCACTTGAACTCTGAAATCCATTGGCTGTCTCTTCTTGCCTTCCCAACCGCCTTTTTCCCCAGGTGCCACGTGTTACATGAACAGTGTCTTCCAGCAACTGTTCATGCAGGCTCTCAAAGGCACCATGTGTTATGCTCCCCTCTCCCCACCTTACGCTCTCACCAGGTGCCACGTGTTACATGAACAGTGTCTTCCAGCAACTGTTCATGCAGCCTCAAGTGCGCCGCACTCTTCTCGCATTTCCTGAGACGCCAGAGTCGGACCGACCGCTGTCCGTGATCTACCAAGTGCAGGTAACGCCTGAGGCTCATGCATTATAATACTGGGTGGGCTGTTACGGGCGGTACAGCCTCCAGTGTATTGCTCTCTGCTCGCAGTCTCTGTGATGCCAGAGTCGGACCGACCACTTTCCGTGATTTACTAAGTTCAGGTAATGGGTTATGAGGTAGAGCTGGTGCTTGTGCGTTGTACAGGACAGGCTAACGCGGTAACTTTTGAGTACACTCACGAGTCACCTTGTTACAATGTTACTCGACATGATCTCATACCAACGCTGTCTTTAACCCACTCAGTGCAGGTAATGGGCCGTAAGCTACAGGTAGTATGTGATGTGAGCGTAGCACAGGACAGGCTTGTAGCGTGTACAGCCTCAACCAAGTGGGCTGAGACGCCAGAGTCGGGTCGGGTCTACGGCTGTTTGTAATCCGCCAACCAAATGCAGGAGATGCTTGTGGGTGGACCCAACCAATGGTGGTATGCAGGAGATGCTTGTGGGTTGTGTGCACAAGGGAAGGTTTTATGAAACTTGATCAGTATTCCCCTTGTGTGTAATGAGTCGATTTTTGAGTCGACTCATTACACTTGATCAGTATTCCGCTGGGTTTTTCTTTTCTTCAGCCTCCTCTCACTTCTTCACTCCTCACGCCTCTTCCCCCTTTCCCCTACAGGCCATATTTGGCTATCTGCTAGCGGGCTGTGCTGATTACTTCGTCCCAGAGGGCTTTTGGGGGGCGTTCAGGGACTACGGCGGGCAGCCAGTGAACCTGCCGGAGCACCAGGACCCGTTTGAGCTCGAGTTATTTAACCTCCTCCCCCCCCCCTCCCCCCACACTCTTCGGCTCTCTGCGAGCAGGATGTGCGGATTACTTCGTGCCAGAGGGTTTCTTGGAGGCGTTCAGGAACTACGACGGGCAGCCAGTGAACTCGAGGGAGCACCAGGTCGCGGTTGATTTTGGACCTTCAACCTCCCTTGGCTCTCACCGCCCCTCCCTCCACTCTCTCCTCCCTCTCCTGCAGGCAATCTTTGGCTATCTGCTAGCGGGCTGTGCTGACTACTTCGTCCCAGAGGGCTTTTGGGGGGCGTTCAGGGACTACGACGGGCAGCCGGTGAACCTGCGGGAGCACCAAGACGCGTTTGAGTTCTTCAACCGTGTCTACGACTCGCTGGACGAGAGCATCAAGGCGCGCCAGCATTCCCCTACTCTCACTTCCATCTTCGGGGGCGCCTTCGCCCAGCAGGTGGGTGGGTGGGTGGTAGGTTGCGCGAGAGTTGTGGTATGCATGCGCTGGGACGCGTTGGGACGCGTTGGGACGCGTGGACGCCTCAAAAGCTGTCCACGTGTACCGCAGGGAGAGGGACTTCTTTTGAGGCGCCTCAAAAGCTGTCCACGTGTACCGCAGGGAGAGGGAGGGACCATGGGCTGCTGTTGGTGACTTCAGAGGTGCTGCAACAGGCAGGAGGAGGGGGGGGGGGAGCACTTGGTGCTGTAGGTGATCTCTCAGCAAGAGGCAGGGTGGTGCGTGGATGTGATGTGACGGGCGATCTATAGGGGCTCACAGGAGTCACCAGAGTGGCCTCCGACTGCCCTTCCCCCCATTTTCCCCACTTCCCCTTTTCCCCCCCCCCCATCCTGTGTGTAGATCACCTCTCGGGGATGGGCCCATCGCAATGATAGGGAGGAACCATTTGCTTGCAGCAGTGAGTGTGGACGTGAAGGGCAAGAGGGGCGTGCAGGAGTCGAAGCCTACCCCCCCCCCCCCCCCCCCCCCTGTTTTCCCCGTCCTCCCCCCTCCCTGAGTAGATCATCTGCCGCGGCTGCCCCCATCGTAGCGAGAGGGAGGAGCCGTTCGCAGCAGTGAGTGTGGACGTGAAGGGCAAGAGGGGCCTGCAGGAGTCGCTGGAGGCATTTGTGCAAGGGGACCTGTTGGAGGCAGACAACGCCTACTTCTGCGGCCAGTGCAGCAAGAAGGTGAGCTAGCTGGATGCAAGCAAGCAGTGAGGCGCCTCTAACCCTAGACCCGACACCCTGAATGAACCCCTTGCAAGAGGGGCCTGCTCTGCAGGAGTCGCGCTAGAGGCGGTTGTGCAAGGGGACTTGCTTGAGGCAGACAAAGCCTACTTCTGCAGGCAGTGCAGCAAGAAGGTGAGGTGCAGGAAAGTGAGCCGATTGCAAAGTGCCCCTCGCCTTTCTCTAACATGCTCCTGTGGCCTCTATCACCTCTCCCTCTTGCCGCCCTCTTCCCTCCCTTTCTCCCCTCATCCTCCCTTTCTCCCCTCATCCTCCCTTTCTCCCTTCATCCTCCCTTTCTCCCCTCATCCTCCCTTTCTCCCCTCATCCTCCCTTTCTCCCCTCATCCTCCCTTTCTCCCCACCATTCCTGCCTCGGTGGGCGGCAGGCCCCCCCTCGGTGGATGCCTTTCAGGTGGACGCCCTCATCCTCCCTTTCTACCCACCATCCCCCCTCCCCCCCCCACCCCACCTTTCAGGTGGACGCCCTGAAGCGCGTGTGCATCAAGGCCCTGCCGCCCACCCTGATAATCCACCTGAAGCGCTTCGATTTTGACTACGAGACGATGCAGCGCCTGAAGCTCAAGGACCGCTTCGCCTTCCCTCTCACGCTCAACATGCGCCCTTTCACGCGCGAAGGGCTGGCGCAGCAGGAGAGGGAGAGGGGCGAGGGGAAAGCGAAGGCGCAGGGGAGAGAGGAGGGGAAAGGAGGAGGACGAGGAAGTGGAGGTGCGAAGGCGGGTGAAGGGGACGAGTCTGGTGTGGCTTCAAAGATGGAGGAGAGAGGCGTGGGCCCAGAGGAGAGGGAGAGGGGGGGAGCAGGGAGCAGCAGGGAGGGTGGGGAGAAGGGGGGTGGGGGTGGGGAGGGGAGGGGGGATGAGTACTATGAGTACAGCTTGGTTGGGGTGGTGGTGCACTCAGGGACTGCGTTTGCGGGGCACTACTACTCGTACATCAAGGAGCGGTGTGGCGATGCCCCGCTGGATCACAGCCGTCCATCGCAATGCGTGCGGTCAAAGTGAGTCCAGTCCAGGCATGTCATCTCTCATCCCATCCGTCCATCCGTTCATCGACTCGTGGTACAAGTGAGTGCATGCCATGCGTTGGTTGGCTGTTGAGAATTCCTTAAAACCAACGCAGTCAGCTCATGTGATTCCAGGGCTGAAGGCTTCACATGTCTCATCTCTCATCCCTTCATGGAATTGTGAGTGGGTGAGTGCATCTAGATTCTAAGCCCTTGACTTTTGCCTCTAAGCCCTTGGACAAGAGAGTGCGTCCCATGCATGCAGCCTTGGCTGTGCTTTGACAAGCAAGCTGCGACCGGATGCCTCCGATTGAAGTTTTTGCTGTAGATTCCAAAACATCATATTGTGTAAGCACAAAGTCATCGCATCCCCGTTCCTTTATCGACGTGCAGGCAGCTGTGGCTGTGCTTTGACGACAAGCGGGTGGAGGCATACGACTTGAAAAGGACACATGTGCATACATGCACACATGCATACATGCACACATGCATACATGCACACATGCATACATGCATACATGCACACGTGCACACACTCATGACATGTTCATCCTCTCATCCCCACGTGCAGGCAGCGGTGGCTGTGCTTTGACGACAAGCGCGTGGAGGCGTACGACTTGAGAGAGCTCGAGAAGGACTGCTTTGGAGGGAAGTACTCCGCTGAGGTGTACGACAACCTGGTCAAGACCTCTTCGCCGCAGGCAAGTCAAGGCATGCAGGGAGAGTTACTATCAATTTAAGTTGGTACCTTATGCCAATCCAGCCCACGTACATGTTCGCGTACTTTACACGTTACGCGTACGTCCGCCGGGCAGGCCTAGAAGAAAATTCCGGTCAAAAAAATTCCCTGTGGAAAACGCGATCTAGAACTACTACGTGACAGATCTGCGCTAAACTACCATTAATGCCTGTTATCTGCAAAGATACCACAGATTCCCCTCGTCAAGCTACGTCGTAAGTCTAATTGTCGTGCTGGGAGGGATCCTAGTCCTAAGATACTAGTTAGCCTAGAGTTAGTTGGCAGGAGTTAGGTAGGTTCGCCGCTTACGTGCGTGCGTGGAGGAGGGGGGGAATATTTGTCGAGGGTAGTCAGGGGTTGTTCGCGAACTGAACAATTCGTTTACTGGTTTGTTTGCCGGCACGTCAAATTAGACGCGCACCAGCGACGAGGTTTCGCGCATGCTAATTCTCGCCACCCACTCAACCAGACACAGCGCACCTCCCTGTGACTTTCGTCGCGCCTGCAGCCGTCGGCAATTTGCACAAGTCAGATGTCTATCCTCCCGGAAAAAATCTCAGGGCAGCCAAAAAAGGTTTAGACTGCCGATGCGTGCAGGTCGAAAACCAGAGGCATGCGAACGTACGTAAAAAAAACGTACACGTAAACGTAAGGAACCGACTTAGTTATCAATAGAGCAAGGAAGGTTAGTACTCGGCTGAGGTGTATGACAACCTGATCAAGACCTCGTCGCCTCAGGCAAGTCGTTAGCAAGCAATCATTGATCAAGGTGATTGTGTCAGCATTAGCAATCATTGATCAAGGTGAGGGTGTCAGGATTAGCAATCATTTATCAAGGTGAGTGTGTCAGCATTAGCAATCATTGATCAAGGTGAGTGTGTCTGTCAGCATTAGCAATCATTGATCAAGGTGAGTGTGTCAGCATTAGCAATCATTGATCAAGGTGAGGGTGTCAGCATTAGCAATCATTTATCAAGGTGATTGTGTCAGCATTAGCAATCATTGATCAAGGTGAGTGTGTCAGCATTAGCAATCATTGATCAAGGTGAGTGTGTCAGCATTAGCAATCATTGATCAAGGTGAGTGTGTCAGCATTAGCAATCATTGATCAAGGTGAGGGTGTCAGCATTAGCAATCATTTATCAAGGTGATTGTGTCAGCATTAGCAATCATTTATCAAGGTGAGTGTGTCAGCATTAGCAATCATTGATCAAGGTGAATGTGTCAGCATTAGCAATCATTGATCAAGGTGAGGGTGTCAGCATTAGCAATCATTTATCAAGGTGAGTGTGTCAGCATTAGCAATCATTTATCAAGGTGATTGTGTCAGCATTAGCAATCATTTATCAAGGTGAGTGTGTCAGCATTAGTAATCATCGATCAAGGTGAGTGTGTCAGCATTAGCAATCATTGATCAAGGTGAGGGTGTCAGCATTAGCAATCATTTATCAAGGTGAGTGTGTCAGCATTAGCAATCAATGATCAAGGTGAGGGTGTCAGCATTAGCAGGTGAGAGATGCGTGGAGTGAAACCATCGACACCTCATCGCCACAGGCAAGTCAACGCATGCTGATACGACTGCAAGCAGGCCGACCAGCCAAGTACAGAAAGCAGGCTGTGAGGTATGACAGCCTGGTCAAGGCCTCATTTCCCCAGGCAAGTTGGTTGGCATGTCCAATCCCAGGCCTATCAACATGAGCGCTGTATCAAGACCGAATGGTCACACACTTTTACGCTTGCAGTCCCCCTTCTCTCCCTCTCTCATGGGATTTCGTGAGGAGTCTATTTTTGAGGCGCCTCAAAAATAGTCACCCTTCTCCCTCTCATGGGATTTCATCACTCTCACTCTCACTCACCCATTCCCCTCTTGGCTGCTTCCCCCCCCCCCCCCCAACAGGAGTTCGACCGCCCTAACAGTGCCTACATGCTCTTCTATGAGAGAAACACTACCAGCGGTGCTGCTGCTGATGCTGCTACTGCCACTGGTATCAGCACAACCATGCCTGCCTCCACCGCTGCCACTGCCACTACTGCCAGCACCACTGCTGTAGCTGACACAGCCATTCCTCTTGATGCTGCCAGCGACCCTTCTTCACTTTCTGCAGCAGAGGCAGCAGCAGCACCACCACCATTGTTACCTTTAGCAAGGGCTGGCCCGTGCCCCTCCACCGCCACCAACACTGCTCCAGAGGGGGAGCGGAAGAGGCTATTGGAGCCATCAGCTGCACCCCCCCTCCTGCCATCAGCTGCACCCCCCCTCCCGCCATCAGCTCCAGAGGAAGGGCCTTGTACAGCGGTGGTGCCGTATCGCATCCCCGCCAGCATCCACCACTGCGTTTGGCAAGACAACCTCAGGTGTGTATGATGAGGATGTCCGTAGGTAGAGCAAGAGAGCCTTAGGTGGGGTGGGAGAGGCTTAGGCATGTAGAGAGAGAATCTCAGGTGGGGCGAGAGGGCCGCGGCCTGGGTGAAAAGGTGACTTATGAAAAGGTCATTTTGAGTCGACTCAAAAGGCATGTAGAGAGAGAATCTCAGGTGTGGCCAGAGCCACGGCCTTGGTGAAAAGGTGACTTTTGAGTCGACTCAAAAGTCACCTCGTTTTGAGTCGACTCAAAAGTCACCTCGTTTTGAGTCGACTCAAAAGGCACGTAGAGAGAGAATCTCAGGTGGGGCCAGAGAGCCGCGGCCTTGGTGAGAACTCAGCATCTGTCAGTGTAAGTCTTTTCTGCCTGCCCCTTCATGCTTTAGTCCTACTGTCTGATTGTTTGACGGACTTCGGTAGCCTTGAACACCCAGACTGAACTATAGTGGAGTCTTCTTTTAGAATTCTCTCATTGTGATGTTGCTGTGTGGCTTCCTCGTGCTAAGTATACATTGCGTACAGTAACAGCGATCTGACTCGAACCTTGCAGCTATCCCTGGGTGGTAATTCCGGTACTGCCACCATCTGCTGGACCGGGCCATTCCTGCCCTAAGAGGGTGGCAGTCTTGCAGCTGCCACCCAGGGCTGGTTGCAGGATTCGAGGTGGCTTTGCTATCCCTGTATGGAATGAGATCGCGTGTAATGAGTCTGCTTGCTTTTCGAGTCTGCTTGTTGAGTCTGTTTTTTAGTAGACTCAAAAGCTTGCTATCCCTGTATGGAATGAGATCTCTGCGCGATGAAGAGTCCATTTTTGAGGCGCCTCAAAAATAGACTCGTCTGCACGATGAAAGCCATGAGCAATAGTGGAAACAAGAACAATAGGAACCACTTGCCCCGAACAATTCGCGAAGATTCTTTTTCTTTGATCAATCTCATCAGCTAACCCGTTTGCATCAGTGCGATCAGTGATCTCATCAGCTAACCCGTTTGCATGTGTTGATGAGATCACTTCCACTCATTTGCAGCCACAGACCTGGCTTTCTTGGCTGTTTCTATCCGACCCACTAGATCTACTACTGTAGGCAAACACTTGCATGCATTTCGTTTCTGTCCTCACGGCTGCTGGACCAGAAGTACTTCCACTTCCTTCCTCTTCGAGGCAACCCAAAACACCCGATCCCACCCGTCACCCCGCCCCGCCCTCTCCATCTGTGTATGTGTGTAGGGGTCAGGTTCCAGCAGGAGTCACGGCTGCTGGACCAGACGTACTTCCGCTTCCTGATGTCTTTGCGGCACCTCAAACCAACCCCTCCCCCCTCTCTCTCCCCCGCCCCTCCCCTCTCTCCCTCTTCATCTGTGTGTGTGTATCAGATTCCAGCAAGAGTCACGGCTGCTTGACCAGACGTAGTTCCTCTTCCTTTATGTCCTTGTGGCACCTCAAAACCAACCCCTCCTCTCTCTCTCTTCCCTCCTCTCCCTCTCCATCTGTGTATGTGTGTGTGTCAGGTTCCAGCAAGAGTCACGGTTGCTGGACCAGACATACTTCCGCTTTCTGCTGCAGCTGGCACGCGTCAACCTCGATGTCTTCCAAATGTCAGTGCTGCTGCTCGCCCTGCCTGTAGGTGTCTTTTGTGTGCCATCTTCCCATGCGCTCCACGCATTGACTTTAGAGTCGACTCAAGAGTCATCTGCTGCTTGCCCTGGCTGTATGTGCCTTTTGTGTGCCATCTTCCCATCTGCTCCACTCATTGGCTTTTGAGTCGACTCAAAAGTCATCTGCTGCTTTCCCTGGCCGTAGGTGTCTTTGATATGTCATTGTCCCATGTGCTCCACACATTGCATGTGCATGGGAGGCTTCCAGACACTGCGTCTGTGGCGTTTCAGTGGATATGCATTGTGCCGCCAAACTGTTTTTGAGTCGACTCATAGATTTATGTATGTACATATGTATATGTATGTAGATATGTGAAGTGAAATGTGCCAAACTGCACATGTGCTGCATTCTCTCTGGGCTGCATGTGTTTGGGGGCAGCACAGCGAGGGAGGGTGGAGGGAGCAGTGGAGGAAACGGCAGAGACGGGGTTTAAACCACACGGCCTGTTTAACAGGCCTCTTAGGGTCTATCGGCCTCCACATTCTTCCCTCCCTCCAGGTGCCACGATCGGGGGAAAATGGCGGCATTGTCAGATGTGAGGGCGGGCGGGGTGAAGGCATCACCGCAGCGCAGCGAGGCTTTGAGGGTGGAGCGGGCAGCGGAGGAGACGGCAGAGGCGCTGCTGGCGCTGCTGCTGCCGTTCCTCTTCCGCGTCTACCTTAGGGCACACGCCAGCCTCCGCACAGACGACCCGCTCTGGACGGTAAGTGACTGGGGTTTTGGGGGGAGCGGGGTGGGGAGGGAGGGGGGGGGGGGTCTGTTCTGCTGCTGCAGCCGTTCCGCTTCCTCCATGTACCTGAGGGCGCATGCCAGCCTCCGTACAGACGACCCCCTCTGGAGGGTAAGGGTTTGGGGGGTGCAAAACGGGGATGTTTCCCCTGCTGCTGCCGTTTCTGCTGCTGCCGTTTCTGCTGCTGCCGTTTCTGCTGCTGCCGTTTCTGCTGCTGCCGTTTCTGCTGCTGCCGTTTCTGCTGCTGCCGTTTCTGCTGCTGCCGTTTCTGCTGCTGCCGTTTCTGCTGCTGCCGTTTCTGCTCGGCTTCCACCTTGGAGCGCACGGCAGCCTCAGGACAGACGGCCCTCTCTGGACGGTAAGGGGTGACGGAATGGAGTATGATCTGCTGCTGCCGTTCCTGTTCCCCGTGTACCTGAGAGCCCACACCAGCCTCCACTACTGCTGGTAAGGCGTGTTGGGGAGATTTTGCACCACGGCATCTCCTTCAGCTGCCCCCTGCCCCTCACCTTCCAAAGCATCACAGGACGTGCTGTCTCGTGTTGTCTCATGTTGTCTCATGTTGTCTCATGTTGTCTCGTGTTGTCTCGTGTTGTCTCATGTTGTCTCGTGTTGTCTCGTGTTGTCTCGTGTTGTCTCGTGTTGTCTCGTGTTGTCTCGTGTTGTCGCGTGTTGTCTCGTGTTGTCTCGTGTTGTCTCGTGTTGTCGCGTGTTGTCTCGTGTTGTCTCGTGTTGTCTCGTGTTGTCACCTCCAACAGCTGGGCTTTGTAGGCACCACTCTTTCTGCTTCAGCACCCCCCACCCGCCAACACTCTTTCTGCTTCAGCACCCCCCACCCTTCTCCCCTCCTCGCCCTCGCAATGCATTTCAGGATGTGTTGACTGGCATGCTAAGGCCAACAGCTCCGCTTATCGGCTATTCAATGATTGTATGGTGGGCAACACGCCTTCCCCTCCCCACCCCTTCCCACCCCTCTCCACCCCTCTCCACCCCCCTCCACCCCCTCTCCCCCTTCATGCATGGCAGGACGTGTTGTCTCGCATGCTAGAGGCCAACAGCTCTGCCTGTCGGCTGTTCAACGCGCGCCTGGCGGGCAACAGGCGATGGCTCTCGCACTTCCTGCTCAAATGCCCCATCAATGCTATCTCCATGGTACGTGCAAACTCCACCCTGTAGCATGGTAAAGTGTCCGTTCATGTCAATGTGTGTGTGGTTGGCAATAGATGACGGCTCTCGCATTTCCTGTGCATCCTTCCATGGCATCTCCATCGTACGTGCCTTCAATACCCCTCCCCTCCCCCCCCCTGCCCCCCCCGCCCCCCTCCACCGTTCAGTCTGATGCGGACCTGCTGACCCCCAGCTGTCAAGCCACCACCTGCTTCCCCAATGCGCGTCCCCTCGCACTGGTTGCAGCAAGTGGGCCTTAAATACCCCCCTTAACCCCTCTCCCACCCTGTACAACCCAACCCCCCCCCCCCCGCCCCCCCCTCCTCCTCCCTTTTCTCAAGTCTGTCGCCGATCTGCTGGCAACCAGCTGCCAAGCCGCCACGTGCTTTCTCAACGCCCGGCCCCTCGCACCGGTTGCTGCTGCTGCTGCTGGAGCCAATGCAGGGGCAGCGGGGATGGGTGCGGCAAGTGCAGGAGGGTCAGGAGGGGAAGTCGGAGCGGCTGGAGCAGGTGGGGGACCGGTGGTGTCAGGGGAAGCAGCAGGCGGGGCGGCAGGTGGAGCGGTGGAAGATGCATTGAACGTGGACGCACTGGTTGACTCGCTCGTGTCGCTGCTGAGGGACGCCGGTTCCCCCTCCTGCCACGTGGACAATGTGAGAGCCATAAGATTGATGGCCTTTTCGTGCACTCCTTGGCAACCCAAAGGTTGTGAACCCAATGATTTCTGCGCACGCCTTGCTCCCTTTCTGCTGGTCATGCTGCTACTGAGGGACCCCGGTTCCCCCTCCTGCCAAGTGGACAATGTAATCCGAACGCTTTTTCTTTGGCGCCAAAGTGAGGCGCTATTTTACCTTGTTGCTCTATTTTGGGGGCGACTCATTTAAACTATGAGATGCTGGTTATTAACATTGCCTTGCACCGAAGAGGAGGAAAAGGGGATGTGGCCAATGACGCTGTGGGTTGGGTTCTTTCAATCACAAGCATCATCAGCATCTAGCCCTTCACCTTTCCGGCCTTCTGCTTTACATTGCTTCTCCTCTTGCGCCCATTCCTCTCCCCATCACCCCAGCTCTGCAGCATATTCGTGGAGTATGCTCTCATTGGCCGTTTCAACCCCACTTGTTCTATCTTTCGAGGAGCCTCAAAACTTTCGACCCCACTTGGACCACGCCACATCTGCATGTTCCCCTTCCCTTCCGGCCCTTCTTCCCCTCCCCTCAGCGCTGCGGCACATTCGTGGAGCATGCCCGCATTGGCCATTTCAACCCCACTTGGACCACGCCACGTCTGCGTGTTCCCCTTCCTTCCTACCCTTGCCTCCCCTCCCCTCAGCGCTGCAGCACATTCGTGGAATTCCCCCCCATCGGCCCATGCAACTCTCCCTCATCCGCGTTCCATACCACATTGCTTCTCCCTCCCTTCCCCCAGCTCTGCAGCATATTTGTGGAGTATGCGCGCATCGGCCCGCCTCAGCGCCTCTCCCTCATTCGAAAACAACTGCCCGCCACATGTGTACGTTCAGTCAGTGTTTGAGTCGACTCAGAAACCCGCCACATGTGTACGTTCACTTCAGTCAGTAGTGCTTCAACGTACGGCCCTCGTGCTGCCTGCCACCTCTGTTGTGTCCGCCCCAATGTGCTTTGAGTTGCTTGCCAGAAGGTGCCTTGGTATGCTCTTCTATTGTCTTGTAAGGTGCAGCATCGATGCCTTTCCATTCCAAACGCTCCTTCGATTGCTGAACCCTAGGCACGCGCTTGGCATGCAAAGGAGGGTACAGGCAATTCCTACTAATGCCAGGCATGCAAAGTTAGGTACAGGCACAGCACGGCAAGCATCGGTAAGTGGGTGATGGTGCCGATGGCGCCTTGCCCTTCCCTTCGCTCTCTCTTCTCATCCCCATTCTTCGCCCCGCCTCTTCTCCCTTGGAGTTCACGTATCTAGGTCGTGTGGGCATTCCAGCAGCAGCTGAGCTGCACCTCTTCCCCTCCCCCAACTCCCTCCTCCCCATCCTCATTCACCCCTGTCTGTCACCCCCTCGCCTCCTCCTCTCCTTCCTCTCTTTCCCTTTTCCCCCCCTGCAGTTCGCGTATCTAGATCGTGTGGGCAATCCAGCAGCAGCCAAGCGGCACCTCTCCCCGCTACACTCCCTCCCCTCATTCTTACCCATCCGCGTTCCTTTTCCCCTCCCCCTTTCTCCCCCCTGCAGTTCGCCTATCTAGATCGTGTGGGGATTCCGGCAGCAGCCAAGCTGCACCTCTCCCCCCTGCACTCCCTCCTCTCCATCCTCATCCGCTCCTGTCACCCCCACGCCCCCTCCTCTCGGGCCCTCGCCCCCGCTGCTGCCCCCCGGTCAGGGGGGGAGGATGGGGGGGATGAGGAAGGGGAAGGGGAAGGGGACGAGGGGGAAGGAGGTTCAAGGGTGCATGGCAAGGGGGGGAGCAGGGGAAAGGGGGAGGGGAGGGCGCAGGGGAGGGAGGAGAGGGGCAAGCGGAAGGGGGGGCAAGGGGGGGGAGTGAGGCGGAGGGGACATGCAGGGTCTTCTGCAGGAGCAGCGGGGG